GTTCTGGGCATAAGTTGGGTCTGAGATAAGAGGCAGGGGTCTTCTGATATTACTCAGAAGGTCTAGGGCAGGTTCTGGGGGTCTGGGGATCTTAGCTTCTGATCTCTCACAGAAGGTCTAAGAGTCTGGGGTTGTTGTCTAAGGTGGTGCTACCATGTAACAGGCTAGCAGGGACAAGAAGACAACAGAAAACTAGGGAAGACTTGGTTACTACTTCTTATTTTCCCTTTGAGGGGCCTCAGAGAGGTTGTAACAGGCTAGCAGGGACAAGAAGACAACAGAAAACTAGGGAAGACTTGGTTACTACTTGTTATTTTTCTGAGGGGCCTCAGAGAGGTCCTCTTTTTATAGACAAAGGGGCTGACAAATGCTATATCCTAACTACCCAATCAGATCTCACCCACATCATCCTAAACTATTTGTCAGCCTATTGCACCATTTGCAACCAATCCGATCTTGTACATGTCATCCTAAACTATTTGTCAGCCTATTGCACCATTTATAGCCAATCACAAGTGAGACAAGTCATCCTAAATACACTGTGCCACTTGATTGAAAGGAGCAGATGCCAGTGTGTCAGGATACTCATCTAATTTAGCCAGAAATGGCTAAATCTGCTTATTTATCTAATTCTGGTCAAATGAATGCTGACACCATCAGCAAAGTCATGTGACCACTAGTTTGGAACCACATCTAACTAGTATAACCATAGCACTGACAGAAGAATTCTGTCACAAAGAGCCACTGAAAACGGTGCCAAAGTTGAGTTTGGCAGCAAGGGATGCTGTATCAAGACTTCAGATGGTCAGGAGGCAATCCAGGGAACTCTAGGCGGCGGTCTATACATGTTTCATGCAAGAGAACATGCAAACATAGCCTCTGGAATGAGTTTGGACCTCTGGCATCGCAGGTTAGGACACCTGAACGTCAACAGCATCAAAATCTTGGCTAGGAACCAGCGGGGAAGCGGTCTGGAGGTCAAGAATCACACAGAAATATCACCATGTGAAGCCTGTGCCATTGGAAAGATCACCAGGCGTCCCTTTCCAAAGGGAGAAGCAGCTAGAGCGGCTCTACTGCTGGGGGTGGTTCACAGTGATGTGTGTGGGCCCATGAAGACACCAAGTCATGGTGGGGCAAAGTACTTTGTCACATTCATTGATGACAAGTCAAGGATGACAGCAGTTTATCTTCTGAAGGAGAAGAGTGAGGTTCTCAGCAAATTCAAGGAGTTTGAGGCCTGGGCAACCAACTTCATGGGGCAGAAGATCAAAACTCTCAGATCAGACAATGGGGGAGAGTATGTGGGCAAAGAATTCAAGAAATTCTGCAAGCAGAAGGGAATTCAGCAGCAATTCAGCACCCCCTACACACCAGAGCAGAATGGTGTTGCTGAGAGGATGAACAGGATGCTGGTGGAAATGGGAAGGTGCATGCTGCACCACAGTGGACTCAGCTACAAGTTCTGGGGCGAGGCAATCATGACAGTGGTCTATCTCAGGAACAGGAGCCCCACTGCAGCACTCAGCAACCAATCAACACCATTTCAAGAGTTTACAGGCAGTAAACCAGATCTCCAGCACCTCAGAGTGTTTGGCTGCATCACCTACACTCATATTCCAAAGGAAAAGCGGTCAAAACTTGATGAGAAGGCCAAGAAGGCAGTCATGGTCGGCTACAGCACTCAGAGTAAGGCCTACAGACTGTGGGTACCTGAAATGAACCAAGTTGTCATGTCAAGGGACGTCATCTTTGATGAAAACTTGATGTGGAGCACTCAGCAGCGACTGCAGAGTGTACCACAGCAAGACCAAGAGCTACAGATGCCTCTGGGAGGGGAGCCTTTGTTCTTGGACGACCAAGAAGGGCTAGGGACGGTTCAAGAGACTCAGGGACCATCTAGCATCACTCCAGACAACTCTTCAGCATCAGAAGATGATGGGGACGACTTCCAAGATGCTGAGGAAGTGCCAGAACTCAGCAGGAAGAGTGCCAGATTTCACAAACCACTGGGAGAGTGGTGGATTGCAAAGCCAACTCAGTCAAACCTGGCTTTTGCCTTCACCATTGGGGAAGTTCCACAGGAAGAACCCAGCACTCTGGCTGAAGCTAGGACCAGACATGATGCCAAACAGTGGGAGGTGGCTGTCAAAGCAGAATATGACTCTCTGATGGAGAATCAGACATGGGACTTAGTCAAACTACCACCAGGAAGATCCACAGTTGGCTGCAAGTGGGGTTTTCAAGCTGAAACTCAAGTCAGATGGCTCTGTAGAGTGCTACAAGGCCAGACTGGTAGCCAAAGGATACTCCCAAGTTGAAGGACTGGACTACAAAGAGACATTTGCCCCAGTAGTCAAGTTTGCAACCATCAGGACGGTCCTGACACTAGCTGCCATGAAGGACATGGAGATTCACCAAATGGATGTCAAGACAGCATTCTTGAATGGGACCATTGAGGAGGACATCTACATGGACCAACCAGAAGGCTTCACCATGGCAAATGGACTTGTCTGCAAGCTAAAGAAGAGTTTGTATGGGTTAAAGCAAGCTCCAAGAGCCTGGAACAAAGTCATTGATGGGCAACTCAAAGAACTTGGCTTTGAAAGGTGTGAATCAGACCACGGGCTGTACATCAACAAGAAGATGGGCATCCACCTTATCCTATATGTGGATGACCTTATTCTGGCATCAAAGGACGACCAGGAGTTGTTAAAACTCAAAGAAGAACTCAAGAAGCAGTTCAAGATGGCTGATATGGGCCAGTTAGAGCATTTTCTCGGCATTCAAGTGGTCAGGGACAGAGCCAACAGGTCAATCTGGCTCTCCCAACAGCGGTACCTCGGTCAAACATTGAAGAAATTCAATATGAGTAACAGCAAACCAGTTGCCACACCACTAGAGAATGGCCAGAAGCTCACCAAGGCCATGTCACCACAAACTGAGGCAGAACAGCAAGAAATGAACGGGGTTCCTTTCAGAAGTGCTGTTGGAAGTCTCATTTATGCAATGCTGGGCACCAGACCAGACATAGCAGCGGCAGTTGGATCAGTCAGCCAGTACCTTTCCAACCCCGGACATCAGCACTGGATAGCAGTCAAACGGATCATGCGGTACCTGAATGGCACCACAGACCTAGGACTTCAACTGGGTGGCATTCAGAGCAAGTGGGAGCTATCTGCATACTCTGATGCAGATTGGGGCGGTGATTTGGACTTCAGGAAGTCTACCACTGGCTTCTTAGTCAAGATTGGCAGCAGCACAGTCAGCTGGCAAAGCAAGAGGCAACCTACAGTCGCTCTATCATCAACAGAGTCAGAGTACATGGCTCTTTGTCAAGCTACCAAGGAAGTTATCTGGTTCAGAACACTCCTAGGCGAGCTAGGACATCAGCAAAGCGGTCCTACAACATTGTATGGTGACGATCAGGGCGCCATAGCACTTGCCAACAACCCAACACATCATGCAAGGACCAAACATATTGATGTGCGGCACCACTTCATCAGACAAGCAGTAGAAGACAAGAAAATCAGCCTCAAGTACTGTCAGACAGAAGAAATGATGGCTGACATTCTCACCAAGGCTCTACCCAAGACAAAGCACCTTAAACTTTGTGGTAAAATGGGTCTCTGTCAGAAATCAGATGATTCACTGAGTGGGAGTGTTGAGATTCAGGCTTAAACCACGCTGTAGGATCTATAAATCATGTGAGATCATGCTGGGATGTCATTAGACAGTTCACATCTGATTTGGCTAAGTTACAACGTGGGGAATTGGACTTAGAATAATCAGAATGATCACAGACACGTGTGGGAATGATTTAAAGGGGTAAATCATCATGTAAACACTCTTAGAAGGTCTGGAAGGTTTGTGGTGATCTCGATCTTCAGGTAATGTTTGCCAAGGCATGGCTGAAGCTGCTGAGCACTGCTGAGCACGGCTGAGCATGTAAACGAGTGGGCTGAAGCATGTAAACAAGTGGGCTGAAGCATGTAAACAGTAAACAAAGGCAGAGGGAGGCTGGAGAATGTACTGGGTTATATAAAGGGGGCTTTTGAACATCTCTGGATTAATACAAGCATGTTATCCCACAAGTTACTGCACCCAGAAGTCTTACTAGCGGCCACAGGCATTACTAGGCCTTTCAGAAGTGATTTCTACATGGGAAATCAGTGTTCCAAGTGCTAAGTTCAATAGTGGGACCTCAGGGGACACCAAATGCCAGCATATCACTGGAATAAAATTGAGATGCTGCTGGGTGGGAGCCTTTCTGTTCTTGGATAAGAAGGAAGAGCTAGGGCCAAAACTGGAGATCTAGCAAGGCACCAGTAGGTTCATGGGGATGTCATACTTGTGAAAGAATGCTTCTTTTGGATACTTGTATACAGTTAAACCAAAGTAGTAGAGTAGCATGGGGTGTAGAGTAGCATAGTGTGAGGTTGAATTTTTAGTTTCAACCTAGTCTAAAAGATGGGCAGGACATGTGTCTAAAACAAATGATCAATAGAGATGCATCTGTCTGCCTGCATCTTGTCCAGGCCTGCCCAGAACAAGTGAGGTACTCCATATTTATATGTTCATTTGCCTGCTAAACTTTGAGACTAGGCTGTATCAAGATATTTGTGTGTATCTCCTGGTGTACCAACCCATGGTTGATTCTTTTTTATTAGTTCTAGATAGGGTAAATAGTCAGCCACTGCCTTGGCATTTCCTTGGCATTTTTGTCTATAAAAAGGGGGTGCTTTCACACCACCACTCAATAACAACCAACCTTGCTCTCAAGTCTTTTCTTTCCCCTGTATCTTCTTGTCCCTGCTGCTATTATTATAAGTTATTAATTAAGTATGTATATATCTGAGGTAGATAACATTTGCTTGTTCTTCTTGAGTCTTCCTTTTGCATACTGTTCTAAGTTCTACAATATAATAAAAAATATCTATATGTAACTATAAGATATTGAAGTCCAGATTATTGAAGATATAACTCAGTATAGTAATCAGTTAGTATATTAAAAATAATAATAATTTATTTACTACCACACTGTTACAGTGAATCAAAAATGATATCCACTCTTATCTAGAAGTACATATATGCAAGGGAAGTCTCTTGTACATCCTTTAATACATATTGCATAAATACTAAATAATGTGCAAAGCATCTTGGTTGTGCAGACAGAATTCCTCACTTAAAATGGAATCCAGAGCTGCATGTGAAACGTTAGTGCATGAAATGATAAGAAGATTTTATTGACTCATACTTACCTCCACACTACAGCTTTGGACAGCTTTTCCTCCAGTTTCTCTCGGTTTGAATATCTATAAAGACATATTTGATTGAAGCAAGTGTGTGATATTGGCAGGTTTTCCGAGTCCTAATAGATGGATGATAAAATTCGAGGTAATGAATTAGGCTATCCATGAACAGCATATGATGTTGCCATTCTGCTACCTCGCCAAGACAGGACACTTTGAAAGCCATGTTCTGTATCCCTGTTGCCGGTATTCGATCGGTCCCTGTTACAAATAGCAGGAGTTTTCTTTTCATCTCGGTGGGATACGCATTCACAATGTCCCAGAAATTGCGAACTGTTCGATCTGATGAGGTGAAACTGACACGAGCAGGACATAAGATGAGATGCTCCAAAGGGAACGACCGGGTGATGCCCGTACCCTTCGTATTCAGTCACACCCTCGAGACCGTGAATATCAAGTTCTGTGCCGCCACACACCATGAGTTCAATCTCCGCTGGGCGGAAGAGCGACAGGGCATTTCCGCCGCATACGTAGCCAAAGCCAGCTTTAAAGGCTGTAAACTGTGTCTCGATCGAGTCATTGAGCACCCAGTTGACATATCTGTCGACGAACTCCTGTTTGTTGTCCTTCGTGACAGGTATCCTATCTCCATTGGGAACAAGCGGTACCTATTTCCGCACGAGCATGAGATTGAAGTCACCATATCCTATATTATCAGTGGGGTTCACCTGCTTAACCTCGCCGAAGGCTTCATATTCTGCCACAAAGTCACGGCAGAATACGGTCTCCACATCGTCACCATCGTATGACAGTAATTGTTCAAGACCTCTGCCCAAAGCAGGTCGCAACTTTTTCAGGTCTTCCAAACCACAAACATGGCCAAGAAGTTTTTTATAGCACGCCGGTGGAAAGTGAACCTGTTTTCACCATTTGTGTTGAGCATTTATGGACATCATGAACCAAAGACACTGCAGTCCTACATCCAAGATGTTGGAGTTATGTATCGCCAGGCCAATGATTGTTCCTACGAGTCGAAACTCTTCGGTATTCTCAAACGATGCCGGGTTAAACCAGCACAAATGGCTGTCGTCGTCAAATGTAAACATCCCATATTGCGGATCGAACAGATCCCGCACCAGTAGAAGAAACCACTCCTTAGTGAGGCCGCCAGCATCTACTCCGTCTTCGTCTGATGTGATATATAAATTCCATCGGTTGGCGTCATACAGTCTGCTGCGTTATGTGGCAATAAATATGACTTACTGACGAACTCAATTCGCAGTTTTTTTTTCAGATCAAAATGTCGTGACTGCAATTGATTTAGAGAATCCTCTATTAAGGCACTTCTTCGAATGCGGAGCGACAAGAATGGGTCCGTGACCAATCCGTGCAGGGCTGTGCGAAAGAAAGCCTCCTTGAATCTTGAATAGATGCGAGTCACTACTTTACGAATTAAACCCGTCGTTCAAATGGTTGTACCTCTCTGCCATTTGCCGTTTGGCATCCGCTTCCATGATCTAGCCTTTGTCAACAAAGGTGAACCGGCAAAAACCATAGCTCAAAACTGGATTACCTGCATTTTTCCCCCAAGCGAGACAAGAAATGGATATTGACAGAAAGCGAACGCACTGGAGAATTGTTCAATGATGTGGTGCTTCGAGTATCAACCTGACTAAGGCTACCAACCCGGTGCGATCACCTTGCCAAATTTGGAAATCTCTGTACAAGTTGATATAATCCACCACAGTATTGTAGAAATCGGCCATCGGTAGCTGCTCCGCACGATGGCCATTTGCCGCAGCTAGAGAAAAGAACGTCAACGATGTTCACACTTGTAGGTGCCCCATAGCGTCGAGAACTTACAGAGAAGAGCCATGACACGGGCTGCTGACCGCGTTGCCCAGTCTGAAGGATAGTTTTCTGTCATCCCTAACCCTCTCGATAAGAACTTCTTCCCGTGGCACTCTCCTAACAGCGCATACATACCCTCTTTCTGAGCTAACCGAAAGCTTATGAAATGATTGACCATTCCAACCCGTTTTTGAAAAACTGACAACGGGAGTCTATTTGGAATTGAACTTGAATATCTGCCACTCTATGATATTCATCCGAACCGGAGTGTACCGACCTTGCAAACCAGTTGACCACATAATGATGCAAGTCATTTGAAAGACAGGACGTCAGACCAAGGATACGTGCGAGAATGTCGTGATAATAATTGACCTCGACATTTGTGCCATGCGTCGAAAACATCGGGCACTGCAACGGTCATATAGTCAGCCAGATGACTTCAATCTGAGTTCAGAAAACAAACCTCTAATAAAATCATCAGGAATCTGATATCTTCCTTTCGCACCAGTTGCCTGCTTATGATACTCAGCCCATGACACTTTAGGTGCAAATTTATCATGTACAGTGCCAAAACTTAACCTGCCAGGTCGTCGGACAAGCTTATCAATGCCAACCATCATGGCCCTTTGCAGCTTGGGTCCCTAAATCGACGTTTAACAACAAGATCTTTCTTCAGCTGCATCTCCTGCCAACAGTGACGAGGCTCACTTGTAACATTATCAAGCGATATGCTTCTCGAACGTCAGTCAGTGCCACACCTGGTGTGTCCAGATTAGCTTCTGAATACTTAGCATATAGATTTAGCACTATTGATCAGTGAATATCCAACAACTCTGCGCGCGATGTTACATTCGAGAAGCTTTCGTTCAGCGCATAATATTTTGAAAAGCAGTCGTGGATGACAATCTCCGCATGAGCCTCATCAGTTTTGACATCGTTGAATAAGGTTTGAGCACTTTGAAGCGTCAGTGGTGCTGCAGAAGACGCCCCTAAATTCACAGTCGGTATAAAAAACCACACAGCAGTGTAGAAGCAATGCGCATCACCATACCCTGTGCAAGTGGAAGAGGTGTCAGATCCGTTACACAGTCACAGACGGTGCAGCGAAAGCAAGATACACTAGCAGGAAAACGGAGGAGGTTATAGCAGCACAAGCAGGTTGCCTTGCTTTCTTGTTGCTGAGTCGGTATCATGGGAAGGGTTGGGCATGGGGAATGGAATTGGGAGCCGGAGGAGTTTGAATGGCGAGTGCTGGGTGAGTCATCACGGCTGTGCCATTTCTAGTCACATGACTCTACGGTACGAGCGACAAAACAGGACCAGCCTTGCGTGCCGACACAGTTCTTCCTCTCTCATTTGCGGTACATCCATCCATCCATCTTAGGTATTTATCAAGTCCGCTGTGCTTCGTAGGTTATGCATGTTGTGTGCATCCATCCTTCCGGCGAGAAACCGATTTCGGTGTTTGCGCGATGATCGTTGTGGGGCGAAGGAGGAGATGGATACACATGGGATAGAACATGGCACCGGATGGGGGGGAATTGGACAATAATGTCGGGAGATAAGAATTGGGGAAGCACAAGCTTAGAAGCAAGCCTGCTGCCTGTGTAGTGTGGGGAAGGGGGAGACAGCTGGGCAGATGATTCCGCGAGTTCACGGGGTTGTGAATTGATTGCTTTCAGTTCACTCACCCCGATATCGTTTCCGTTACCTTGTTCTCTAGACAATCAAGATGTTGATTCCGAAGAACAACCGCAAGAAGGTACTTGCTTCTATTTTGCTGATACTTGAGTTGTGTCTGATTTTGTCCAATTATCGCGGTTAGATCTACCAGTACCTCTTCCAGGAGGGAGTTATGGTGGCGAAGAAGGACTTCAACGCTCCTAAGCACCAGGACGTCGATGTCCCGAACCTTCAGGTCATCAAGGCCCTACAAAGCATGGCCTCCCGTGGTTATGTAGCCACCCGGTTCTCGTGGCAGTACTACTACTACTACTTGACCAACGAAGGTATTGAGTACCTCCGTGAGTACTTGCACCTTCCCCCTGAGATCGTGCCCCGTACCTTCATCAAGACCACCAAGAGCGGTCCCCGCCCCGGTCGTCCTGGTATGTCGTCCTCCATTTGATCATTTTGAATATCTTCTCTAAACACCTAACCGATCCCGCAGAGGGTGACCGTCCTCCTCGCGGAGATGGTGAGCGCTTCAGGCCCCGTGGTGACGGTGAACGCGAATACCGTCGCCGCGACGACCGTCCTGGTGAAAAGAAGGAAGGAGCTGCTGGTGATTGGAGGCCGGAATTCGTAAGTGCTGGCAAAGATGCCTCTGATCAATGTCTTTTTTAAAACATGCTCATCGCGTTGTCATGTGTAGCGTGGTGGTGTTGGTCGTGGCGGCCCCCGTCCCGCTCAGTAAGCCGCCCAAGCCTTGCAAGGAGAGGGCACTGTAGATATGGAGCCAACTTGTTTGGGAACCATTTACCTGTATCAATATAGATGCACCGCATCCTCACTTTATGCTTTGATGACTTGAAATGTGCGACCCAACGCTTTAAGTCTAATGCAAATCCTGCCATTGATTTGCTGATGTGCACAGAATTGGTCCCACGATTTCCAAAGTTTCTCTCCCGGAAAACATTCAGCAGATGATGTGTGCATAGTTTGCCTAATGGAAACAGCCCAGACCCCCTTCCGGGACCATATTCAATCACACTAATCACGCTTTCAGGCTGCACCCGTGTTGACCGCCTCCAAAGCACCTGCCCTAAGGAGTGTATCGGTACAACTCACATCAATGTCTGCATTGGACAAATGGATATGAGTGTAAATAGGTGGCATGTGAAGTACAGTACCAAGCAAAATGATATAATTCACATCAAACTACTGTGCTTGTCCGGTGCATACATCGATACGACTTGCGTATACAAAAGCTACTGGAAACGTTCGACGGCTGGAACGTATCCTAACAGTATGTATAACAACTTCATAAACAACTCTAGTCACAAACAAGAATGTACGGATGTAGGCGAAATCTTATTATTATTGATGACGCTGTAATATACACCGCCATAACAATGATCTTAACGGTAGCGACGGAGAGACAAAGTGTTGCGACGGAGCCAGCTGGCGTAGCGACCACCACCCCTGACTTTGTTGTGCAAGTGGCCCTTGCCAATGCCACGATTCTTCTTGCCAATAGCAGTGAGACCGCGAGACTCACGGTGCTTGTGCACGGGCTTCACGATCCAGTTGATGCGGGGATCGCGACGGATGGCCTTGTGCTGGGGGTCCACCAGGATAACCTCGAAGAACTTGTAGGTAGCGTCCTGCACAACACATGTTAAATACAATCAAGTACAGAAACTCACCCGCCAATTACCTGGTTCACCCAGTACGAGTTCAAAACGCGCAAGTTAGGGCACTTGCGACCGACGCGTTCTTCCGCCGTAGCACGAGCTGCTCGCTGGTACTTGAGCTCACTGATACCCTGGCTAGCGGGCTTACCATAAACCTGGCCCTTAGGTGCAAGCCTCTTACGGTTACCGCGGCGAACTCGGATGCGGTAGATGACATAGCCCTGCTTGGCCTTGTATCCCAAGCGACGAGCCTTGTCCGGGCGGGAGGGACGGGATGCCCGGTGGATGACATTCAATTGCCGGTATTCCCAACAGCGGACGCGGAGAAGGAACCGGAGAACATCCGATTGCTTCTTCTTGTACAGCTCTTCGAGATACTGTAAAATGACTATGTCAGAAGGAAGATGTCGACAATATTGCATGCATTATTAGATTACCTTGTAAGCTATGGTGAAGGATCAAAGTTGCAAAGGATATTTCATATAGGAACGAGCAGGGAAGAGAACAGCATTAATGGTCAGGGCCCCAAAAAGGTCATCAATCTGGCCACATTAACACCCTCTATGTGGTGCACTCATTCCCAGTAATACAGGGAACGGGCGTGTGGCCGATCTATAAAAGGAGCACAGGACATGCCAACTACTAACCACCCATTTCGAATTATCTACTGGAAAAAGTTAAAAAAGGGGAAATATTGGGTTAGTGACTGCCAGCTCAAAAACACACTGAAGGCACCAGGGTAGACACTGGAGAACAATTCTTTCCGTCCATCTCTTCCTCCGCCCATTGAAGTCAACCTCGTGCGATCCTTGTAATGTCTTTCGGAAAAGACCCATTTCTTGCGCTGACACATGCGCACCCACATTCTTCCCCATGACACCAACCCTCTGTCCTGTCACCAGCCCTACCGAGTCCAACCCGATCACGCACAAATGCCAACAGATGGATGGATGGATGGATGAATGAACCTTGCAATACTCACCTCCAAGACGTCGGTGGAACGCTGACGACTATTTGGATCTGCTCTCGAGAAGGAAGGAAGACGGGTCTCACCAAAGCTGAATTTCAGTTGGCACGGTTATGTCACGTGTAACTATATCACGTGCCATAGTCCAAAGGCGCGAGAGCGCTTCGGCCGGGAGCACCACACGTTCAACCGTGCTCATGCAGCAGAGCAGTGAACGTTAAGGGAGCCGACTCGGGAGAACATAGTTGAAATACTTCTTGAAGCTCGCGTGCAATGTGGCGACTCTGATTATTTCATAGATATTGAGCCCGGCGTCATATCCTATGGTGGTCCTTCTGACGGTTAACTTGGGCGACCCCACGAACGCCCGAGGGAGTGACGGCATCTTCTTCTCAGGAGAAAGATTCACATGTAGCTTGACGTTCTCAAACGTAGTATCCTCACCAACATCGCGTTACGGTTCTGAAAGTACCGACCCGAAGCGGAATGAATCTGATGGGGAGCACAGTCAGACTCTGACTGCGTACAGCCCAACCACAAGAAGTCCCAACTCGTCCTTATCGGAAACGGGGTCCGACGGCGTTCACGCATTCTCAGAAGTACCCCAGTCACATTCTGACACAGTGAGCAGCGGTTTGGAGGCTGTCAAAGAAGAAGGAGATGGCGGTCGAGTGAACGCTCCAAGGCCGGATACAGGTTCCAGGCCACCACCGAGGGGCGCTGGCTCAGGCCTTCGACTATCTCGACCAAAGCACGTAGTCTCTCGTGGACCGCTAAGCGCTGGAGGTAATGGCACTCGGAATGCGTCTCTTGAAAGCATGACTTTCAGTCAACTGCTTCGGAAGTCTATTTCTTTGTCATCCTTGCGATCTGCGGTCGGCTCTACGCTGGGTCTTCTTGGATCTAGTGCTGAACATGACCTATCTCAATATCCACAAAGGCGAGGGCACATGCAAGTCATTCGACAATTGCAGCCGGCCGAACCTCCGCGTGCCCTACGGACTACCGGAGCTCCCCGTGCCCCTCTACCCTCGAGTTTACATGCATCACCCCCGTCTTCACCAGCACCTCTCTCCCCTGTAACCATACCACCGCAAATTGAAGTACGCGGTGCGAATAGGATATCCCTGCATACTGTTTCCATGCACAGTCCGAGTAGTCCAGGCTCCTCCACGTCGGACTTGCATTCGGCTCCCGGTACCGCGCATGTACAGCAGCGTTTCAGCAGCAGTTACGGCGATCTCACTAAACAATATCCTCCTCTTCCTCGGAATTCCTTCGACACATGGCATTCAACCAGAGGCTCTGCTCCATCCCCAATGGGGTCCAAACCGGAGTCTATTACCTGGGCTTATGTGCAGATGACTGGACATTTTTCTGTGGACCCAGCATTCATAAAAGCCAGCGCATTCGAAGCTCTCAAGTCGAAAGTCATGTACCGCTCTGCCGCAGTTACTGGAGGGGGCGTAGGGGGTGGCGGAACATTGGGTATCAGCTCCACTACAAGCTCGCCGAATGATCGGTCTGCAGGTATACTTATAGACGCTGACCAGCGGAACTCCCTGACATCCCAATTTAATCACGTATACACTTGGCAGAGACCAAAAACCTACCCTTGTACAGCACGCCACCGTCTATTCTCTTTACAGACTTGTCTCTGGCACCAGGCGAAAGTAAAACATGTGCGCAGTGGATGTGAGCCAAGATGCTCTTTGCGGCGTTCGCCGGTTTCGAACGCGGTCAATACTTACTGACTCGCGAATTTTTGTATTCATAGATAAGTACGAAATTCTGCTGCCCGCGAATTTGCCACCATCTCATAGAGGCAAAGCGATCCGTTTCTCCTATAAACTCATTGTTGGAATTCAACGAGGCGGTATTGCGCACAGATCCCAGGTTATCCAATTGCCGTTCCGAGTTTTCAGTCAAGTTCATGGTGAGTGTGCTTTGTGATTCAGCTTGTGTGGAGTTCGAGAGTGGAAACTAAAATCCGGCGCTCGGATGACAATATAGATGATGGCTCTCGGCCGATATACGAAATAGCAAACCCAGTCGTTATAAATAAAGATGAGGCGGTTGTTTCTACCGAGACGGTGCATCATGCTCTGCCCCCGACGTTGTTGACCCTGGACCGAATAGGTCCGTTGTCCTTTGATTGCATCTGGTGAAAGTGTACCGGTACTGGTGGTATTTACCAAACTCATAGATAACCGCAGGGCGACAGTCCGACCCCGCTCAAAGACGAAGTCGCTTCTGGAGAAGGACGACATTGTAGATTGCATGGCGCGAACCATAAACCTCTGCCAGCATACTAAGAAAGGTGTAGCTTGAACGTGCGAATTTGAATCTTGAAATGGACAATTGGAAGTACTAAATATTACGCCAGTATCATATGACATATGCAAGAATAACGAACATGTCGCACAACTAATCCTCCCTCGGAATGTTTATCGTTTGGGAGAAACCGTGATGGGGATGCTGGACTTTAGCAATAGCTCAATACCATGTTACCAGGTGGGTTCGGTTAATTTGCTCGGTTTTCCACTAACACATTAACCCAATTGTTCCTGTAGCTGTCTGCCTTCCTGGAGAACAATGAGCATATTGAAGAACCCTTTGCAGTACGATCAAATGAGCAGTCCTCGCGGCTCACACGACGTGTGTACGCCGAGCATCACAGATATTCTCTCAACACCCAGCGCGCACACATCGAACTCTTCCTGCCCGTAAGCTGCAGTCCTGAATTCCAAACATCAGCAGGTAAACTTTGTAGCCTGTCATGATAGTGTTGAAGTTGTATTACTGTGATTTTGTAACGTTATTTCGCTTGTTTAGTGTCGGTCCAGTGGTGCTTACGATTGGAATTCATCACTGGTTCAAATACTCGCCTTCATCTGCGTGCTTCGAACGATGTCCACTTCGCGCACATGCATGCCAATCCCACTGCAGCCGTAGAAGCGTTCGACTGTGTGATTCCCTTACGAGTTTACGGTGCAAAGACCGCACGGACTACCCAGAGTATGCAGCTTTTTGAAATACCATGATTTAAATGGAATAAATTATACCAATATCCGCGCATGTGCACCTCACATGGCATTTTCGTTTGCAACGCCTATAGACTTATTCACCCTTCAAGCATAGCAGGAACAATGCAGCCCGGGTTTTGATGGCATGGCCTACAGTCTTTGTTGCAACCACAATAGACCAGTTCAAACCGCCGGTAGCTAGTCTACTACGAGTTGTATTATGTAAGCATGCGTCACGTGCAGTAATTGAAATGAAGAGCACAGCCACCATATCTAAGTTCTTGGGAGGGTCGTGGGAAAGTTGCCTGCCGGGACATGCCAGAACTACACCCGCTTCACCACTATCGTATATATCGAGTTGTGGAGCTCTTACATGGGAATAGGGATGGTGCGTTTCTCTCCAGTGGTTATGATGGTAGCTGCGCAGAGAGTGCATGGCCGCTGTTGGTTGGGCAATTCGTCACAAAGCGGGTTGCCGAGGCGACATATCCTCAAAACGGACTATCTCAGTCTCCGGCAGCTATTTGCTTCTGTGACAGTACTGGTGCGGTCCCCTGCGAACTGGTGTCCTTTGATATGTCCTGGCTCGGACGTGATTGTTGTTTAAAAGGCTGGAACGTCGTTCCGATATTTTCAGCGCCCAAAACGGTGAATGAACGTCCAGACAGGGATGAGCTAGTTCCTCTCAGTAATGCAGTGGATTGCACATACTCGTCTTCTTATTTGGAGGTTACGACAAAGCCGTACTTGCTTCCTGCGAATCACTTTTTGACAACGTGCTGGTCATATTCATTTACAAGCATCGAATGTGATATTTTAGCCGAAGCTTCAAATGCAGAAGGGATTTTCGTCAGTGAAAATCCATCAAGGTCGGTCGATGAGAATGGAGGAAGAGAGAAGACTGGTCACAAGCCAGATGTTCAGGACGCTGCGGAGCCAGATTACAATCGAACTAAATCCAACATCGTGTCTGTCGAGGGGGTGGTTCGCGCTCGCAGCGTATTGAATATTGGAGATCGTCAAACATCCTTTTTTGTGGAACTGACCTGTGATAGACTACTGAATGCTATGGGAAAACAGCTGACACTATTGGAGACTGGAGAGGAAACACAAATCCCAGCTGATCTGCAAGCGATCGTTACTGTTTTCGTACTTTACAGAGAGCCCAAGGAATCTTTGAAGGACATATTACCCTATTACGAGAGCACTCGGATTGGCTGTCGGTATCTGCTGGTCGGATTACAAGCGGCGGCCGTCAAGTTCGATCAGGCAAACGGAACATCTCGGAAAAAGAAGATCCTTTTGTTTTCGTTATCCAGCTCGAAGATGATATTTCTGGACTCATTTACCTCTTCTCGACCCACATCCCCGCAAAAGTACCCATTTCGTCCCTTCCCTCTATCTCCATCTTCAGTTCCACGTGCCAGCGTGCAACCAGCCTGTTCAGAGTTTTCTCCCAGCATATGTCAGACATACCTTCTCTCGTACGTGGGCCACATCGCAAGGATTCTTGATGTAGGTGCCGGGATATATGAGCTCGACGGGAAGAATCTGCTCTACACTACCTTCTACTATCTACCTGGTTCGGGAAGAGGTTTTCGGGTCGGAGCGCAGATTGAACTTCACAACGTACACATGGTTGTCGGTAATGTCCATCTGCCGCGCTTGCCGTACGACTCAGATACGGGTCAACCAAAGCAAGCGATCTTTCTTGCCTGTCCGTGCTCGACGCTGACCATCCGTGCTTTCTCTACGAGCAATATCCCATGCTTCGTGTGTCCCATTAAACAGCGTACAGATATTTTGGAGAAATTGCGAGGCTTCAATGTCCCTGACATGCTTCTTTTTAAGAAATTACAGAAGCACTTGCGGAGTTTAACTTTCGCGGGAGCTATAGACAGTCTCGAGGGGATAGTAGGTGACTTGCAGTGGAGCAGGGCCCAAGTGATCAATCTGCTGATGCAATTCGGATATACCCCATTTGAACCCAGTCTTCAAAATATTCTGCTGAATCATGGCGACAACTGTAGGCTGGCGAACTGGCGATATCCGATTCCGGACGTCGTATCCATTGCGCATCTCCGCGAGGCTCCAGAGGTGGTAGAATTTGTTGCGAAGACATCTTATCAAAGAACTATGGGATGGGGCTATAGACGATTTGATCAAGTTGAGCTGAAGATGGAACGTTCTTGGCTGATTGGTTGGTTAGTCGGAGATGACACCGGGAACCTTCAGCTTCGCGATCGGTCCGGGAAGATACTAGTGGTGGTGGACTCGGGTAACCGTATCATCGATGTGGACGATCTGGGACAACTTTGGGCCATCAAAAACTTCCATCTAGTCGTGGAAACCTTCGGCCCTTCCACGCCAGTCAAGGTCTACTTGAACATTTGTCTCTCCACCGCTCACTGTATTGGACAGCCAAGTTCTCATGGTGCGACTTCACCCCGTGAAACGTTCGCGCCGACGGATATGCTCTTTGTCTGGCATCATTCTCCCCTGCCCACAGCTCACATAAGTACTGACGGAGGCGTGGTACCTACGGTGGTAATCCAGGGAGCTTCGTTTCAGGTGGCCATGGATCGACTGAAATGCTGCCGCACAACCTATGTCGAATTTTCTAATTGTGGGTCAGTGATTACCAAGGCACTCAGCCCCGATCAAGTGTATCTCATTCGTGACGCTGAAAATGTTGATCAGGACCAAGAAAATGTGGGCGCCACTTTCAATACTCCGCTATACCTTCGATTTGCGAAAGGAACACGTCTAAAGAAGGCAGTTGTAGGAAACGCAACCACCTGTCATGCAGACACAGCTAGTGATGGTGTTCATCCGTCATTTTCGCTCCCTGATAGTGATATCGAGCAACTAAACAGGGCACGATACAGTGAGACATATAGAAGCGTGGGTGCGTTAGTGAGCCGTCACCTAGATATGCACGGCGATCCAGATGACCTTTGTGACTATTTGGTCTGCATGGAAGGCATCATTCAGCTGAAAGAGCTTCGGGAAGCTGCTCCAGATGAGGTCATAAATTTGCGGCTCGCACTGGAACTTTTTGAGAAACACACGATCGGGACAGCAAGGCATGACCGGATCCTTTTTCTTCGTGTACAGGATCCCGAGACATTTGACACCATTGATGTGTATCTGGATCTTCGCCGACACACCTTCCCACTCGGTCTGCTCCCAGGTAGTTTCGTGCGATTTCGAAAACTAGCGATCCGGCTATCCAACAATGGATCAATATATGGCCAATCTATTGCCGAAACATCCATTTCAATCTCGAACCAATCTAAAGTTGCTCACGCCCTGCCGGAATCCTCCCACCCGAAAGTCTTGTTCAAGCTGGCTGCATTTTGGGGTGGGGTCACTGCACATCGCGCATATATGCACGTGAAATGCACGATAACTTGTATTTTGGAAGTATCTCTTTGGTATGCATGCCTTTTATGCCGATCAAAGATTGTCAGCCAATCCTGTCCTAATGAGTGTGCGCAAATGCATCATTCTCTACATGGGAAAGCACGTATTTTTGTTGAGGATGGAACGAGTGAAGCGTTGTTGTTGGTTGACGATGTTGATACGGTGCTTGCGCTCTTGCAAGCCAAGTCAGGTAAATTGCGAGGGCAACTGGAGACTGTGATACGCCGAACTGGTGAAGAGACATTTGTTGCGAACCCTCCATGGCTGGCCGAGGCGGGGGCTGAAGAGCCGAATCATGTCATGAAGGATAGGACGAATGGCATCCAATCCCACCAGGGATCTTTGGGTCCGTCAGATGATTCTGTCGACGACCTTTTTAGGTCATGTTGCAAACGCCCGGAACTGCTCCGTGCAGTCATATTGCGCTGCAAGCGTGTATCGAAGCGGGGGGGTGCAACAAAATCTTTCAATGAGCAGAACGATTTGAGACGGAGGACGTTCAAAAGCAGCGACGGTGTACATTTACCGACAGTTGCACAAGCTCGACTGATCATCCAGGCTACAGATTTAGAAGAGGTGGATGCGAAAGCAGAGGCGGCACGGCTGCTGGCATTGTTGACTTGTGGATAGCACGACAGTGCAGGCGGCGCTAGAATTCGGTTTCTAAGATTGCAGAGAATGCTGGATTGGACCTTTGTATATAATAATAATGATAATAGAACCATAATGATTATTTTTTGTTCATAACAATTAATACAGGGCAGTTGTATTCACACTAGCCAAATAATGTAAAAGGCATTTCACGTAATATGAAATAGAGACAAAACTCAACATGACATTTACGCTGGAAACTGAAACTATCCATCGTTAATCGGAGGCAAGAAAATCTGAATAGCTTTCACGCATCTTGTATGGCAAGGAAAGAAAAGGGTTTAATAGCCTAAAACCGTCAAAAGAAATGGAATCAAGACTCTTACCTCTTTGGTTAGTGGAGACGTCTCGACGTAGTCCGCCAAAGTCATGGCCATTTCACACCATTTTTTTGCATTAGCTTGTTCGTTCAAGCTACACCGGAAGCACGGAAATTAGATTTACCAGAAGAATCAGCTGGTTGGAGCAGCTTCCTCACCTCCAGTGTTCGCAACCGATATTCCTGGATCAGAGCTCTAATTGAGCGCCCCCTGACAACACTTTGCGATGCAGACAGAACTTACCAAGCTGCAACCATCAACCACTCTACTTCTTCTTTAGGATATGGGTTTTCCTGGTGGAAGGGGTTAATCGTCTCCAGCAGGCATTCATACCTTATGTCGTCACGTACTTGTGAGCTTGACTTCAGAATTGCGAGAACTTGGTCGTACAGGCCCATGGCTGCGGTTTTATTCGATACCAACGATGTGCGAACGAGAACGCGAAACCTCAAATATCGTCAATTATATCTCGATACTCCAGGCAGGAACAGGCGCGATCGCTAACTTACCATTGGCTGAATCTCTTCACGTCAAATCCTGGATCATGCTTCAAAATTGCATTTAACGCAGCCTAATCGAGGAGTCTGAGCGCCTGCATAAAAATGCTTGCTGCACAAAAGCATACCTGGATTGTAAGAAATATAACTGTACGTAGTGATGAGATGCACGCCGATACCGCGGAACGACCGTACGGAACTCACCTGCGCTTGGACATTTCTGTCGAGTAACGATATCTATGTACAGTGTCACAGGCAGTCTCTCGCAGGAGGATAACGCGGGCACCAATTTGGGCTGCCTACCTGCCAACCGTTCGAAAATTTGAACGGGTGCTCCTACAGAATTCGCATACTTGAGGCGGGCAGTGTCAACTCAAGAGTTATCAGCTTTTTATCACACAACAGTCGAAACGACGACGCACTTCAAGTACAGGTTCAAGCTCCGACCATGCCTCCATTCTCACGTTAATCTCAAACTCGAGGTAGATACTTTGATGAAGGACGGGATCGTCCAGTTTAGGTACGGTGACTGCATTGCCCTGAATACGTTTGCAAATCTCTCTCATTGTCTTCAAGGCTGTCATGGCCTTCCTTAGATGTTCCACGCTCTGCACCGACGATTGCCGGGCAAGTGAGACGTTGCCAGCAGCGGTGGCAAAAAGGCTATTGCAACGATGAGCGCGGATACAGATTACTCGAAACTGCAAAACTTACTGACCAGATCTTGCGGCTCTGCAAAACTTGTACTGTTTCCTCCTCTGATAGGCTCAATATGTCCGCCGTCAGATGGTACAATTCACAAGCTAGCTCAATTTGGTTTGCCACTGCGCTGGAGAGAGCGCAATTCCAAGCGACACGGCATAGCCAGTCCACCTCTGCAGCGTATGCTTCCGCTGATAGTGAACTCGAGGCTTTCCAGCCTTCCAGCAGACAATAAGCTTGGGGACAACAATATTTAGAAGTGTAGACGGGGCGGCAGATGGCACTGATTTTTGGTTCCCAACCTTTCTTGATGAAAATTACCAGGTCAGCGAAGATTGCTGCCCTAGGCAACAACACAACAACAAGTTGATGAAACATCCATGAGGAATTGCACGCATGCCTTTTACATGAACGTACTCATCCCCTGAGCGGACTTGTGCCTTTGTCAACCGTATTAGGCACCTGTAATTCCGTGTTTGATGGTCAGATTTTGATACCAGTCGATGCGTATAGTTCATGCACTTGCCGTAAGACGGTCAGCAAATTTGCTCCGTTGTCATTGGCAGTCCAGTCCATTGGCGAGAGGACGATGTGCTTCAAGACTTCTTGAATAACTTGCTTGTTGCCTTTCTATCGCAGAGTGAGCGCGGCAAAGATTCTGATTGCGGGTCACCTGGAATATACTACCTTGAACGCCGCTTGTGCGGCACTGACAAAGTATTGAAATGTATCCTTCCCACAAGGTATGCTCTTAAGGTGATCTAGTGCTGAAACATATCATATCAGTGACAGACAATTCTTTGGGAATGGGGATAACGTGGCAACCTCGCTCTTGATTGGATTGCTCCAGCAATATGATGTAACTGAGAAAGTCGTTGGTGGGTGAATTCTCCTTAGCGGCGGCTTGTGAAATTAAGTTGAGTAACAGTTCGCCGACAAAGTTTGCGTACACTTGACACCTTGTAGACAGCAATCGTAAGCTTGACTGTGCTGTCCAAGCTCTAGGTAGCATATAGAAAGTTTTCGATGCACGAGAGCTACAGCAATTTCAGCGTAGGAAACGTCTGCACTACATATAGACCCGACCATACCAGTATTGCGTGAGTCCATTGGGTCATCAAGTAGAAGTCGGGTGCTGCATTTGAACCACTTAATGGCATCCGCCCAATGACCTTCCTATCGTTTCAAACGGTTATTAGACGTAAATCTTTTTGGTCGGCTGACGGTCTTACCTGAGCGGCCCTATCCGCCGCTTGCCATAAAATCAACTGCAGGTAGAGTTAAAACTGCAAATTCCGAACGGACAAACTACCCATCTTAGCATACTCGATAAGTTTTTGCTAATGGAACATTCGTGTCTGTATCCACAACTTTGTCTGCCGTAACAACTGTCAGGTTTCCGCAGAACCCGTTTTGAGATAAGAGACCGGCATTCTCGTACCTATCAGATTTTCTACTTGCGCGGTGACCTCATCGTCCACATTGGTTGCAGTCATTAACAGGTACATCTTAAGGATACGCAACCTCTCCACCTGACGGTCCTCCAACGAGACTGCTGATTCTTCAAGCCTGTGCAGGAGTACGTCAACAGCCGCCGCGGCCACAGTTGGGCTGTGCATGGAAGGGCCGTGAGTTTTCAGGGCGCATCTCATGCAGCCTTGAGTTGCAACCCTTACCTTGTGTGCCTTGCCATGATATGAAGCATTCCCAGAAACCTATCTCCAGAACATTTGATACCAGATAAACAGATACCATTCTACTAACATTCTTACAGTTTGAACTGCTCCGGGTCCTTTACGGTACTAGCACAGTGTTCGACTGCCAATTTGTATACTATAAACGCGGTCGGTGAATGACGTGAATTCATCACTATTCACACGTCATATAAAATACCTTTATCCATTGCAAGTTGCTGCGGAGGATTTTTCAGGGTAAGACATTTAATCTTCAGGTGATATCCAAGAAGCGTACTAGGGGATGCCTGTAACATTCATTCCACCAGTGTATAAATGTTTGAACGTGCTGCAAATAACATCATATTGAAGTATACTCACTTGTAGAATCAGATCGGCAGACTGTTCAGCCGCCTCTAATGCGTTCATGTCCATGTACGATGCAGCCAAAAAGAGGAGGATCTCTGTCTAATGGAAACAGTCAACGCATGAAGTAATATAAGTTCAAATACAAGCCTAGAACCTACCTTGAGCGCGCATCCATTTGCCGACGTTTGATTTTTAGATTCATCTAACAAGTCTATCCCAGTTCTGCACCATTGTACTGCATCAGCAGATTTTGTGGCCCTGCGTGCACAGTTCAGACAGATTTGCGCAACTTCTTCTAGCTGAAATTCAATAGCGTGAAGACAGTACTTGCATCCAGAAAATAGATGTGCGTCTACTGTGAGATACCTCCCCAGTACCAAGGTACGCCTTGGCTTCCGTATTCGTAACATTATGCATGAGCATGAATGCTACGGCAGACTCCGAGGCGACAAATTCCTGAAATTGTCCGGGCCATCAAAGAGCCAATCACGTCATTTGATCAGGGTACATACGCACAAGTTCTCCTTTATAAGCTGCAGTAAGGACTGCCAGCCTTTTTGCTTCTGCAACCTCAATAGCGCACTGTCCAGAATACTGCAAAACATTGGTTATTAAATGACACTTCCGAAACTCCGTGAAGTATTTGCGACGGCGTGTACCTTGCCACACTGTTCGTAGAGCTCCCTTGCTTTGTTATAATCGCCAGAATCTAGCATAAAGAATATATAGCAAGAACACGGGGAGGTATGACCACTGTCATTTTACCGAACCAACTTCGCCCAGCTTTTAGCGCAAGATTTGCCAGTTTTGTAAGGGCTATCACAAGTGTGAGAAGGAACAACTCCGCTATTATGCATTTAGACAATATTGAATGCACCTCTGCTGTTCATTTCATCTGGAGCCGCTAACGTTAAGAGGGCGAAGGCTGCCGATCGCACTTGACGAGAACATCAATGAAGGAGATTCGACCGGTGGACGTCATTGCACAAGGTACCATACTATGTGCAATTTGGGTAAGGATCTTTGCGCTCATCCTTTTTGCGGAGATCTTTATCTTAAGGGACTCGTTCCATATGCGTACACCTGGGTAGGTGTCCCGTTCGAAGTTCGCTCAGTTGCGCAGTGACCAGATTGCGCGAAAGTATTCACCGCACCAGTGTCATCAAGCCTGTCTAGTAGATCTACAAAGGTAGCATTCTGCTTATCCTTGGCACTTCTCATCTTTTCGACTATCTCCACGATCCTCTCACAATGACCGCATGTTTGACCACATTCACTATCCTTTGCGAATAGACTGCCAGAAAGCTCTATTTTCCCAAATTCTAGTGTCCGTTGAGTAGTTCACGGTTGCATGGCTTACCTTCTATCTCGCGAACCAGAATTTCATAACCCGATGTCGGCGTAGCGTCCCGCATCGCTCGAGGGTCAACGTGGGAAACTGTGGGCCACCAGGTTGATCGGGACTGCTTACAAGGACCACGTGGCGCTGCGTGGCGCAAAATGTATTACATAAGCACATACCATTTGCCCTCAGACTCTGTGAGTGCATTGGTCGGCTCTCGACCACCTAGCTCACGTTGCATCAAGTAAGAGTATAGGTAGTCTTTGTAAGGGGCAGTAAACATTGTACTGGGCGAATAACCGCTGATCGGATCATATCTGAAGAAATCACATCCGGTCCTCAACGCCTAGACCGAGCATATAATGATCGATGTCATCTGAGATGCAACTTTAAATCTGTAGATACAATTGGCATGGTCCCCTCTAGTTCTATTCTTGAAAAGCTATTGGAAGACGATCAAATCGTTAGTTCTGGTCGCCTCAACCCGTCGCCATATACGCGTCACGTGACCGTTAAATGGAGGTGTTTGATTGGCTGATGTTTTTTCACCATTTTTCGCCAACTTGGACATTGCGAGGGACCTTTCCTTTCTTCCTTCACCTACCCGAACATCACCCCACACGGACGCTTGATCTCCACGTCCCGGGCCACACAGGAACAGAACAGGCAGGATGAAGCACAACAACGTTTTACCCAATGCGCACTTCCGCAAGGACTGGTTAGCATCGATTTCACGGATTCCACCAATGTCGGGACATGGGTACAAGACATTGACGTGATTTTGGTTTTAGGCAACTCCACGTCCGCACGTGGTTCGACCAGCCCGGTAAGAAGAAGTCGAGGAGAGTCCACAGGATCAAGAAGGCTGCCCAGATTGCCCCTCGTCCCGTTGATGGTCTTCTTCGTCCTGCTGTCCGCGGTCAGACCGTCAAGTACAACATGAAGTTGAGGGCTGGTCGCGGTTTTACCTTGGAAGAGCTCAAGGTTAGCATCTTAGATTATTTGGGATCCAGGGCAATCAGGTGGATGGAGTTCGGAAGCGTGAGGACATGGTGGCGCGGAGCTGAGTGGTAGTGGACGGATGGGGTGTTGTACGATATGTGTTAACACATCTCGTCTCTTTTAATGTGTTTTCAGGCAGCTGGCATCCGTCGCAAGGAAGCCCGCACCATTGGTATCGCCGTAGACCACCGCCGGAAGAACCGATCTGTCGAAGGTCTTGAAGCGAACGTCCAGCGTTTGAAGGAGTACTCTGCACGACTCATCGTCTTCCCCAAGAAGGCGAACAAGCCCAAGAAGGGTGATGCTGATGTAAGACTATGCAGCTACCGGTGAGGTTCTACTCACCACAATTGCTGACCTAAACCTTGATAACTTGCAGGCCGCCACTGTTGCCGCTGCCACTCAATTGCGTGGTCCTGTGCTCCCTATTGTCCAACCTGAGAACACCGACATTGAGAGGCCCATCGGCGAGGCTCCCAAGGTCCAGGCATACGCTACCCTCCGCAAAGCTCGTTCTGACAAGCGCCTTAAGGGTGTCCGGGAGGCTCGTGCTAAGGCTGCGGCAGAGGAGGAGAAGGCCAAGAAATAGAATTAATAGCCTTTTCTTTGGTGCATATTGTGGTTCAATATTTGAGCATTTGAGGAACATTTGTTGTGAGGTATCTGTTTTATATGGCTTATCACATATCATGACGCTTCGTCGTCTGATGTGAATGATGACTGTGAATGTGCAAAAGGGATTCTGTAAATTGGCATACAAGTGAATCGCTCCAGGGCGCCAGTTTGATGGTAATGTCTGTCTGGCAGTAGCGACTTCGCAGGTCATTGCCAATGTTATTTGTAGTTTGGGTCTAAAGGCAAACGCTGACACAATGATGAGAGTGCCACGTGATCACTGAAACGGGAGTATAAAAGAGCAAACGCCTTGCACTCCTCCATCTTTGAAGCAAGCAATCATGGCACAATACGAGCTGTACCGGCGGTCGTCGCTTGGCATGGCTTTGACGGATACACTCGATGAATTAATTACAGAGTCGCATATTGATCCTCAGATTGCTATGAAGGTCCTTGCGCAGGTGCGAAAGAGAGTTGGGGGAACGGTTGGCTTGCAAATACAAGTGTCGCCTACGCTTGCACACTTTGTGAAATGTTGATTTTATGGGTGTTTTGTATGGCGTCCGTCACGCAACCTAACCCGACTCCAACCCTCCTTCCTCAGTTTGACTTGACAATAGCCGAGGCCCTTCACAACCGAGTGAAAGCCAAAGCTGCCATAAAGGTAACCCGCCATCTGATCCTATCAACCTAAATCAAGCACTTACCGAATGGAATTTAGGGTCACTTGCACGTCTACCGCTTTTGCGATGATGTATGGACATTTATCGTTGATCGACCTACATTCAAGCTGGAGGGAAGTGAAACCGTTCATGCGGATCGGATAAAAGTGGTGGCATGCACGGCGAGGGCTCCGCCAGGAGGAAAGCCAGAGTGAAGGATTGGCAACTTTTAGGTTGTGTTGAGCTTGGATCATTAATTTTCGGTAGTATGAGTTGCGGCTTTGGTCGCTCTTGATGTTTTGTTTGGTGTAAATTGATTTTCTCGTCTGTTCCTTTCAACAATGCCGACCCGCCATTTAATCTGGCACTGCGCCTTATTTGCCCCTAATACTTTTCAATATTTGATTTTGTACATACATTACATGGTGGTTACTTTCACCTAACTCGTATCAGAAAATAAACACTGAACCCACATCCACCACAGTCTAACTGGTAACAAAAAAAATGCATATAACAGTAACACTAACTAACTTCACAATGCCGCTGATGAAAATAACAAAGGTAGCAGACGTTTCCCATCGCGAGACCGATCTGGCTTACAGCTAGACCATCATGATCGCGGCGCACGGTATCAATCGCCGCCCAAATTCTTAAGAGCATTTCTCAACAATTCCACATCGAACCTATCTTCGTCCCCCTCCCATAATCGATCGTCTCCGGTCATATCTGGGAATCGCTCGCTGGGTGGGAGGATGTCTGTTTGTGGTATAGTGGGTGTTTGACTCATGATTGAAAAGCGACCAGCGCGTTGGGTTTGGTAATTATGGGGAAAGTCAGAGGAGTCGGAATACGCTCCCAGCTGTGGGTGGTTTAGAGCAGAGATAGAGTGAAGCGACATGCAAACAAGTTATACCTTTTTGAGGCCTTCGTATATTGTTTCGTAATTTTGCAGTTCGCCTCGCACACCGCTTGCACAATTTTCTAATATAAATTCCATATTGTGATGTGAAAGGGTATCATGCAGCGTTTGATTTTCTACTGTTAGTCGCTTAATCTCATCTGCTATGCTCATTCGAACATTTAGAGACTAATTGATGCACGAAATTGAATGATAAGTGCATTGCGATGGAAAAGTCAAAGTGCAGGTCCCTGAAACGTACGGATTGCAGGGCTTTAATATCCCTTTGCTTCTTCTTCCCCAGTTTATATGATTTATCCTCTTCCTGATGTAATCGCTCCACAAGTTTGTTTATTTGGTCTTTGTTTTCGTTTTGTCTCGAGGTTACTCTCGTCATAATATTTTGGATATTTTGGGTCAATGGTGCTTCAAACTCGCGCTCTAGGCTTTCGGCCTGCAAGACATGTACGATATCAGGTTGTGTCTAGTCCGCTTGTTTTTGAATTAATGCCTACCCAAATTTGATGAGCGTTTGCAATGAGATGTGTACTGTCAATTAAAAAATCCAGGTCGCCCACCACATGAGGTCGCCGTATGTGCGCTAACCAGCAAGATCAATTACGGTCAAGATTTGCACAGGGAACCACACATGCGCTCACCTGCTGGAACAAACTCGGCCAAATCCTCCAAAGCCCTCACAAAGGTTTCGCTAGCAGCAGCAAGAGCTTGGACCTGCCGTCTATACACCGCCAGCGCTTGGACAAAGGACTGATATTGCCGCATCGTCAGCCGCGGCGGAGGGAGCCTTGCTTTTATTACTCGCGGGTCGTTGGGTCCACCTAGGTGTAAACGCAATAAGTGACTTTCCAGTTGGTTGGGGAGTGACAAACACGCGACATACCAGCAACACTGGCGGACGAGTCAAACCTGCCCGCGGAGAAAGGTGCAATCGCGTGCTGACCCATATGAGCTCGTTTCTCATCCAAACTGATACCAGAGTCACCACCGTCTCTCCGCTGAAAGTGGTGCGTTGGGTGTTTGAGGACATCGCCCATAGCTGCTGCGGCTTGTGCTTGTTCAGCGGAGAGGAGGGGAGTAGGATTTGAGATATCCTGCTTGGATATTCTCAGAGGTTTTGGTGGCATAACGGCGAGTAGCTGCCTGCGTCCGTAACAAATCTAAAAACGTTGAAAAGATGTAGCAGTTGTTCAATGAGGAAGAAATGTTAAAATTGGGGGGATGAGGTCCAAATAGCTTTTCAAAACGAACGCGGGAGAATTTGTGTGAACTTTGACGCTTAGCGCCTTGCTGAAACGCAGCATTCATTTATCCCAATATGGTAGTAACAGTGACTATGCCGCCTATTTTCCTATTATGGCTACATGCTGATGTGGTAAGCTATCTACGCTACCTTTGAACGAAGAGGACCCGTAAACCCTCCTGCACTGCGACCGACACCCAACCTGTGCTTCAGCTCATTCAATATCGCTTTCCGATCTTGCACTATCCCACCACCCCCTGCAAGCACGTCGGAATTCTCAAGTGCACGTCTCTGGAGATAGGGAATCGTCACACCAATAGGTCCGTACGGTATGTACTTAAATACCTTGTATCCTTTGCTCGCCAACGAGAAAGTTGTCCCATCTTGCATACCCATCAGCTGTGCAAACGCCACGGATCCTTCTCCTGCCGGAACATTGAACTGATTCATTTGCTGGCATGCGTGTTCCACCGAATTTTGGTTATGCGATGCGACAACAAAACTAAGCGGACGAATGTTCCCTTCCACTGTTATATTCGAGTCAGGGCTTTGAAACCCGGATATTTTGTTCACCAGGAAATCGATGGCCTTGTTGTAGGCAGCATGGGTAGCTTCGATGGTAGGTTGAATAGGATCTGGAATTCCTAGTTCCTCGGCACGCTCCCGTTCGGCATGCATATAGGCGCCACGCACTATTTTGACGCCAAACGAGTATCCGTTCCGCTCTGCCCTCTCCACATCTAGCACCAGCCGTTCGTATCCGTCCTTCAAATACAACTGGTAGGTATTGTACAAGACAGGACCGCGTCTTCCGGCCTCATTAGGACCATGGTGCGGTGGGTTGAATTTCTTGCACAGATTCAATCCAACATCATCAATAGCCGGCTGGAAATACGTTTGCTCCGCGTCTACTAGAATTCGGACGCGGAGGTCACGGGCGTGCTGTGCGACGATATCAATATCGGGAATGACAAGGTCTGTAGTATCGAGATCGTCGGCGGATATGAGTTGATTATCGGGTGTGACTGGTTCAATGGGAGGACGGATGAGGGAGCGAGATGCAGATGAGTTGTAGAGTGAGAACGTATCCGTGACATCAAGCCAGTCGATGAAGCCGTCCTTATCGCGATCCGTAGCAGCGAACAGTGCACTTGCCGTGTCGCCTCTCAGATGAGGAAATGTAGCTGAAAGCTCCAAAAATTCTTCCAGACTCAGCCTACCGTCTCCGTTTCGGTCAGCTTTCCGGAAAGCCGCTTGCAGTAGCACAAGCGTATTGCTCCAGCGCTGGAGAATCAATGGGGGAACGAGCGCAGTGACTTTTAGCGCAATGAAGCTTCCTGGTGTCTTGCTGGCTATGTCAATACTCTCTTTAAACATCCCAGCAACTTTACGAGCTTGCTCTTGCGCAGCAGGTCCTGAAAGCGAAGCCGCATCCACATCCGCTTCAAGGGCCAGGTCAAGGATGCTGCCAATTTTTAGGCTCTTGAAGTTTTCCATGGTCGGAACAACCTCGGCAAGGTCTTCTCCACCTGTCGCAGAAAAACATATACGTGAGTCCACAGTTCAGAGAGGTCAGGCTCATCAAATATGCATACCACAAAAATGTCTAAAGAAAGTCTGCTTGATGACGGCATAAACCGGCCGAGTCAGTTTCATTTTTTCGGCCCACTCCAAAATCGTGGGAGATGCCTCCACTATCTTTGGCATTGCACATAGTTGAAAGACCAAGAGGGAGTTTAGCAGTTCTGCGGTAGAGCGGGTCTTGTAGGGCCGAACACTGTCTAGTGACGAATTGTGTGCTTGGGTTGCCAACGAGCGAGTTTGAATGAGGGAGCGAGCGAGGCTGAGAGAACAAGAACCGTGCGGCGGTCGGATGCGAGTGAGTTGACGGAGTGGAAGGGACATGGCCAAAGGTTCAAAATGGTTGCTGGAAGAAAACGAACGCAACAACAAACAGTCGGCTGAAAAACGAGGGCAGCTGATATCAACCAGTTGCTTATATAATCCCAATCGCAAATGGAAATTAAACGACCGCGCATTTGGAGCTACAAATCCCGTACTGCCAGATAAAGGTTTTTATACACCTTCCCGGCAGCCGCGACGAAAAAAATCCCGTCCATCCCGCAGCCGTCTGCTTGCTTCTGCATGTTACATTGAAATGTCCAATACGGCGACGGTGCTCGTCCGCCTTAACGGCTACTTTATTCTTGTCCACCTATCTTGTCACTAGTGTGCAGGTGGTAGAAAATGTCACTAGGGACAAATTCTCCCTCCAACCCACTACAGCCGGTTCTAATTTACAATTAGCCAGCCTGTCCAACCCTTCATAACCTATCCTGCAAACGAGTTCCACCCCTATCCTAACTCGCTACAGGTTCCAGCCTGGGTTGAACTGGGGTACATGAAAAGCTAACTACGACTAGGCCCAATTACACATGCAATGCATTACGGTTGGTTCTAACCGGGTAACTAAGCCCACCACACGAGAGAAATCCTACTTGATTCCGAAATTCTTTGGTCGGAGGATGTTTCAGATACTAGTAAAATCAGAATACTTAGACTGGGAATATGCATGGGAAAATACAAAGATAATGCATACCTGCGATCGTAGCAATATAGTAGTAGCAGCGTTTGCAAAGGGTTATGTTGTTGTTGTAGTCGGGAGGGCGAGGTCCTCGGCACCAGAGCAGTACTCTCATGATGGACTTGAGAGTTGCTTGAGTGTTGTGCAGATGCTTTGAGAGTCGAGGATGGGTAAAGAGGGAAGAGACAGAAGGCCCCCCTTTTATAGACCTTCAGCATGCGCCTCACCGCAGTTTAAAAAAAAACATTACATGCATGCCACACCACAGTTTGGCGAACATTACAATACATGCCACACCGCTTTGAGCGATAGATGGGGGTGCTGATTATGCGATATGATTAACCGGATAAAAATGAGTCTTAGTGCCATTTTCAATCACCTCCACACTAATAAATCGTTGGTTCGGTAACATTCCGATGTTAGCACGTGATATCACATGCCATCATGTGCTTGCAGAGTCGCAGCGACGAGGTCACGTCGTTAAAGGTGACTGTGCCTCTACACGTGAATACCCAAATTTGGATCACTTGACTCTTCCCCCCCTCCCCTTCCGCCCAGCTCCAAAGGAACTTGCTTTTCCTATCGATGGGTCGGGCTCGTTTCCCACGCAGGCAATCTGAGATTTACTTGCCATCTCTACACGCTTTTTGCCAACGACCTTTACACGATACCGACTTCTAGTCTGTTCCCCTTCTAGTCCGTTGGGTGACCGCCCTTTTGCCTTTTTGCAACCGTTGGATATCTGTTCCTCGGGCTAGGCTTGGCAGCATTTGAAGCAGGAGCTTGAAAGTTTACGCATATTTGTTGCGGAAGAAAGCTCTCAAGTGCAAATCTTGTACTTTGACATTGCACCGGCGGTTTGGCTGTAAGTATTCTTACTTCCCTTTGGTGCTGTTATGAGTGAGGACCCGTACTGACTGACCGATTTGGCAGCGCCACCAACTAATGTCGGGAAGTGTGGACTCTGTACCCGGGCGTACCGCGCAATTTCCTGGATCGGGCAGTAGCTCGAGGTACCGGCAATCCCTTAATCTGAATAAAGCTTTCAAATCGTCAACGCCAACGCATAAAGGTGGTTCCGGTTAGTGTTCCTTCACTTCAAGTGTTTTTATTGAAGATGTCATTCAGAATCGCTGACACATTGTTTTTCATGTTCATCCCAGCTGCCAGAAATGGATTGCAAGTTCTCGGAAGTACTAGACCACGCCTACAATCATCACTCGTTGCTGCTCCCAAGCCTGTTGACTTACCTAGTTTGCGAAAGGAAAATGCCGGGCTGGACCCTACAGTGAGTTTAGTGCCCAGTGGAGGGTCAGGATGGGCAGTAAGAAATAAGGAATCTGATGAAACGGTGGGAGCTGTTGAGCATGACAATGCGGCATCAGGGTCAAGTGAAGAGACAGGATCAGCACAGGGGCCAATCAGAAAATCACCACGAAATTGGGCGATAACGGCGGCGAGCTCATCCCCGCTGCCTTCTTCCCCTGACTTTCCAACAGCGGCTGAAGCGTTGAAAAATCAAAAGCTGGAGAAGAAGGATGGCACTGGAGAGCTGAAGACGGGAAAAGAGGCACGGGCTACTTCTGCAGGCGGGGACAAGATGGGCGATAACGCGGAAAAGGCATTTGATATTACCAAGCAAGCCGAGGCACAACGGCCTGAGTCTGGTGGGTGTTCTCCTCAACCATGCCATTGCAATTTATGGGATCTCATTAGAATTGCATTTACGCCGTTTTCAGTCCCCCCAATCAAGAGCGCATGGCAAATCCCAGCGCCTCCCTCTCAAAGGTATGTTTGTAATAGTACTATTACGAAAGCAAAAATGGTCAGGTTAATTGAGATGAAGTGACTACAGCAATACCGACGGTCCGCCACACGAAAAGGACCATACTTGGGTCGATGATGATGATGACATGGATTTTTCAAAAGTACCAGTCTTTCAGGCAGGTGTGGATGGCGTGGAAGTTGTGGAGGAAGTGGACGTTCATCATCAAGATGATGTTGGCCTTGGGCTAAAAGGGGCTGACAGACGGGAACCTGTATCAAAAATTGTGGAACGACCCATTGAGCGACGGCACCCTGATGATCATTTGGGTAGTCGTGGCGACAGGCATCGCTCACATGATGTTGATCGAGGATGGCGAGGCCCACCGCAGCCGGGACCGTCAAGAGACCGCTACCCTGTTTTTCATGATCGTAGAAGGGGTTCAGTGTCCGCGAATGACGTGAATCACACAGAATGGGGGAACTGGAGATCAGAACGACACCAGAGCGTCGTGGAGCGGGATGAGCGAAATCGATTTTTGAATGCTCATCCACCGCAGCTTCTACAGCGCGCCACGCGGCCCGGTGACCGATCAGATCGCGACCGATTAGACGATAAGCATGAAAACATACCGACTGGGCGACCAGAAGCTAGCAAACCCGAGGAGCCGAGGGATATGACTGTGAACACTGTGGATCATTTGACAGAAATACCACAACCGGAGAGCAAGCGACAGACTCATCAGGAGGATGGCGAACACCCTCGGCGTACACCACCCGGGTGGCGACCGAAGGTGGCTGAACCACGGCGGGACGACAGGCAGGACCATAATATTCGCGAGCATGAGCGGGAAGGTGTACCGAATGGGCGACCAGAAGCTGACAGATCCCAGGAGACGAGTGAAAAGATCGAGACCATTAAGGACCATTCAACAGAAGTGCCACCACCGGAACTCAAGCGCCATAGTCCGCCCGAGGATGTGAAGCACCTTCGGCGTGCAGCACCCGGATGGCGACCAAAGGCGCCTGAATCACAGCAGGAGCTTCGTCCATCCATTCCTCGGCGGGACGAAAGGCACGACCGTGGTGTTTTTCGCGACAAGCGTGAGCGGGACCTGGATAAGATATCCTGGAGGAAAGACCCTGACAAGCCAGGTGACCGAGTTGTTGCTATACTTCAACCTGAGCGCAAACCACTGGGATCGTCGCCAAAAGAGGAAGCGATGGTGCATACGAAAAGTGCGGAAGTGCACGGGGACAAACACGACCATGCACCAGACATAATCAGCAAGGGCATTGCACCGCGCGAGGTCCTAACAAAGCGTGCAAGTGATGGGCCGCAAAGCCGCCGCGAGAGTCAGGACCGAGTGGCCACAGAGCTTTCTAACGGTAAAGCTGCCCGTCCATTGAGCCGGACATCACAGGCACGTTCCGACGCACGCAATCTTGACGCTTTCGACTCTGTTATGACGAGCATCAAGCAGATGATTGATACTTCTGGGCACCTAATCGAGCAGGCAGACAGCGACACTACCCTCGCAGATGTAGGAATGATTGATTCACCACCAAAGGGAAACGGAGCAGCAGAGCCTCGTCGTCCTGACTCAAAAGACACGGCCAAGAACGTCCACATCAAATCTGAACAATATTCCAATGATCGGGAAGGAAGCAGGAGCAAGAATTGGAAAAGCCAATTGCAGCATACACTAGCTGAGAGGACATTCCGTGATGAAGGCAAGAGTGGGAAGTCCCAAGGGTCACATTCTGCAGAAGGCGGCTTTGAGAAAAAAGGTAAACGGCTCACTAAGAGGAACAGTAAAGTTGGGAGAAGGGCGTCTGTTGAAACGACTGCGGCGACCGTGGAAAAGCCGTTAACAGTGATTGTGCGGAAACCAGGTGCGTAGTTTCACCGCGAGTAATTGACTGGACTACGCCCTAATGTTTCTCTCATTGCAGCATCGAGTGACGATATTGCAGCAAAACCATCAGCAACATCTGTTGTTGATAAGGTTGCACCGTCAAAGCCCGACGAATCGGGGGAGTCGTCCGGCTCCCCGACTTTCTCCGTCGCCATTCCGCCCGAGATTGACTTGAGTAGGAAGGTCAACTTCTTTGCTATGCCGGATATCCTTTCTCCTGAACCGCCACCCCCATCAGCCAACGTCTTGTCTGCCGAAAATGACATGACGGCGTCTGATAACGTCACTAACGGATTGAAGTCTCCGCTTGCGCCGAAAGAGGATGTGCTTCTTGATGCCTTCAAAAACGAATCTCCAAACCCGCAGCACGGAGAACGTCGCTTGAATGTCCTCGAAAATAAGCATGCCATACCTCGCCATCCTGTGGAGGCGTGGGCGACCATGCTGCAGCCAACTACCACAGTAGATTTAACTCAACCTTGGGCGGCAGCGGTCCCAGCTACGTTTAGCCCTCGCACCACTTCCTACCGATCGACTGACTCAGGGTTGCTTTCTCAACCATCGCTCATGCTCCATCCGACCGCCCAGCCGTTGATTGTACCCCAATATCCAACGGCCCATCCCCAAATATGGCATAACAAGGACTCTTTCCATGGAGCTACGGTTTCATCTCAAATAGGCCCGAGTATGCAATTACTCGTTCCCCGACAGATGATGACGCAACAGTTCCCATATCCGTGGATGGTTGTACCAGGTGGGATGCAAGCACTTAAGCCGCAGCAAACAGCATCGTCTTATCCCCAGGTCGCCGTGCGGCCGGCAGGGCCGCCAGTGCAGATGACGCCTCAGCAGTTCCAGGCGCTATGGAAGGATCAAGGAGTTTTGGCTGGTATGCAAATGCATCCACATACGGGATCCACAGTAAAAGCAAGTCAACAGCAAGCGTTACCCACTAAGCACGTGGGACGGTTCCCTGAAAGGCATCGGTCGTATCAAGGGGACGTGCCGCGGTCAAATGCAGGTGGAGGAAAGCCGGTTGGTTATGGGAGGCTGCAGCCCTCTTCGTCGCAAAATCTACCTACGAATTCTGCGCCCATTCACCTACCTTTGGGTTCAGCTCTAGCCGCTACGGTAACACCTGTCCCAGCGGTAGATTCTAATCCAGCCCAAATTCCAAGTGGCGGTGCTGAAAGCAAGCATCCGTCACCAGTTCTTCCTGCACAGAATTCGGAGGTTGGCAGAGCACAGCGGGTACCACAGCCTCCTCCCGCCGTGCCTGCTCCATCCTCAAATCCCACGCAACAACCTTATATCTCTCCACCAGCAGCAACGCAAGCGGGCAAAGCAGGTCAGGTTCCGCTCAAATCAGTAAAGCATGGAACGCCCCATGAAGAATTGAAAACCGCACCATCCTCGGGTAGTGATATGCTCACAAAGCAGGTGTCAGGAAGTGCTGCGGCCACTCCAGCTACTGCCCTGCCGTTGCATAACATCCAACCCCGTGAAGCTTCACACAAGAGGACTCCGTCGTATGGGTTACAACGTGGACCTTACTGGCAGGCGCGGCAGGTAGGACGACCAGATTTGACAAGACACATGGGAAGTATGGCTCAAGGGTATCAACCAACGGCCGGAAAAGACATACAAGTCGGGCAGAAACCAAGGAAGGATAATGGTACTGATACTGCAGAGGATAACAAGAACCCCCAGGACTCTGCAGAACATTCTGGCGATAGTCATATGGAGGTGTCAAAATCAGAGTCGAAAGTGGAAGTGGAGAAGGCAGCACTTATCCTTAATGACACAAGGGTGCAGCAGTCTCGACGTCCTGCACAGACCTCCTCGGAGACCCAGGCACGGCCATCGGGCCCTCCATCGACAAGGGACCGTTCTACTCAACCCACAAGCAAAGCCACGGAAGAAACACGCGGCGCTGGAGCGGCAGGGAAAGGAGCGGAGCAAGCAATCACGTCCTCAACGCATCCCAAATCCACACAACGGAGCCTCAAGCGCCCCGCCTCGTCACAACCTTTGGTACCCCGAGAGAAGCACCCACGCCCAGCAGTTTCATCGGGACCTCAGAAAGGGGACAGGCAGAGTGTATACAAGGAGGATATAACGCCGAGTGGGTTGAAGATTACCTATACATCGCGAACTGTCGCTGGGCCACCTACTGTGGAGAAAAGCAACGAGAAGGGGAAGAAGGACTCCGCGGTAGGAACGGAAAGGGAACGAAAAAATCAGGCTGCAGTGGAGGTCCGGGAATGCGCAGAGAAGGAGAACGAGAGCAAGGGGGAAAAAGAGGAAGGCGATATGAAGGGGGATAAGGAGAAGAAGAAGAGACGGCGGCAAGGAAAGAAGGCCCGGGAGCATGATAAGACAGATGACAATGATGAGGAGAACATGCGAGACAAGAGCACTACGCCCAGTTCTGGCCCCACCTCCAGTCCCTCTCCTGTACCATCACCTGACGTTGGGCCAGGGCGCATAATGGCGAAGAAGCCTGTATCGCCTCGCATGCCTCCTACCCAGGTCGAGGGGGATGGGTCCGAAAAGGCTCAATTCGCTGGATCACAGAACGTACCGAGCAATTCGGTGCCATCGTCAAGACCTTCCCGTAAGGATGGTTCTCGCGGCGGATTCAGCGGATCATTCTCTTCATCATTCTCTGCGAGCCGAGGAAAAGGGATCAATAATGCATCATGGCGAAGAGGAGGAGCCACTTCTGCAGCAAGATTCAGCCAACGCCGTGGTGGTCGTGGTGCAGAAGGAGCCGTGAGTGGAATGTGTGGTCCTCGGGCTGTTTATGTGACATCAAAGCAGTAAGAGAGAATCAAATGCAAATGTGTTTGTCGGTATGTGTACAAACGGGGCTTTGTAGCGGAAAATGGGCTTTTAGTTTTTGTGAATTCCGACATAGATTGAGATAGTTGTTTCCTGCTGATTTGTTTTATGCAAGAAGCGATTGCTCCTCTCGTTTTCTCTTTTTTTTTGTATAAATATATTCAAATGCATCTCAAGGATAGGATATCCGTTTGGGTTTTGGAGGGATGGGCTTTGCGGATGGCTTAGCGGCGCGTATCGATGTCTGGATGTGTGACATCATTTCCGTTGGTGGGGTTTGGGGGTTGATATATTTTGGAAAGCCTTTGGAAATCTCTTGTTCGTACGTTTTCGTTCAACTTGCAGCAAACAAAACGTTATTTTATACAGATTATATTTCAACAATACACACATGCCTTCAGTTCAACAACCTGTCATGTCAACCACTCAGCCCTCCAAAGTCGTTCCCATTGAGACCCTCATTCAAGATGACCCCTACCTGGGTCCGTACAAGGGTGCTATCCAGCACAGGTGCGACCAGCCCAGGGAAACTGTGTAGTGGCCCTCGCACATTATTAACCAGCATACCTTAGATATTCGCAGTACGCATCCTGGGTTGATAAGATAAACGCGGATGAAGGTGGGGTCGATAAGTTCACTCGGGGATGGGAGCGATTGGGATTTAATGTGGACAAGGACGGGATTGTGTACAGGGAATGGGCACCTGGTGCAGAACAGGCGTTTCTTGTTGGAGAATTCAGTGAGTTTCATATTGCTGTCTTTGAGTGGGAACGCCAGGATTGACGTTGTCATTGTCACAAAGACAACTGGGACAGGAACAGCCACCCTTTGAAGAAAAACGAGTTTGGGGTCTGGGAGATTCGATTGCCTAACAAGCCGAATGGAGAGCTTGCAATACCTCATAATACCAAAGTGAAGGTGCTGTCATTTTCACCCGTCATTAACGGCCGTGGATGGGCCCTGATATTTGAAATGTCATGAATAGATATCAATGACGAAACCCGGTGGAGAACGGATCGAGCGGATTCCTGCTCTGATCCGCAGAGCTGTACAAGATCTAAACTTGAGCCCAGCATATGAGGGCGTGTTTTGGCATCCCAAACAAAAGTATATCTTCAAGAACAAACCTCCACCAAAGCCGACTGAAATGAGAATATACGAGTCACATGGTATGCTTCACATGGTGATGCAGCGTCTTGTTTAACGAATACCAATCCTCTTTCTTTCCTGTACGACACAGTCGGTATTTCATCACCCGAGCCGCGGGTTGCGAGCTACAAAGATTTTCGTGAACAAACCTTACCCCGAATTGCACGTCTGGGGTACAATGTCATTCAGTTGATGGCGATTATGGAGCATCCGTATTATGCCAGTTTCGGCTACCAGGTGACGAATTTCTTTGCGCCCTCTAGTCGATTCGGTAGGCAAAAATGATGTCGTGCGACGGGAGGTATGGCACAACACTGAAGTTCACAATTAGGAACGCCTGAGGACTTGATGGAACTCATCGATGCTGCCCATGGCTTGGGGATCACAGTGTTGCTGGATGTCGTGCATTCTCATTCATCCAAGAATGTTTTGGATGGAATTAATGAGTTTGATGGGACAGGTCTGTAGGGTCAATTAACGTGTGAAATCTTTTGCGCAAGAAATGTGAACCCAATTCTTTCCTCTCTTGCAGACCACTGTTATTTCCATGAGGGGGCACGCGGACGCCATGAACTTTGGGATAGCCGGTAAGGGACTATTTTCAGCATGCGATTCCCACAAATGGTATATCGTACCTACGAAATTCATTGGAAACCTGCTGCCAGGCTCTTTAACTACGGGCACCACGAGGTCCTTCGCTTCCTCCTTTCGAATCTCCGATACTGGATCGTAGAATATGGGTTTGACGGCTTCCGCTTCGATGGCGTGACGAGCATGCTGTACCATCACCATGGTCTAGGAACGGCGTTTTCTGGAGGCTACGATGATTATTTTGGAAATGCTGTGGATGTGGAGGCAATTGTTTATATGATGCTGGTGGGTTGTTGAATTACGATTGTCTGGCTGGTAGTTGTACTGAAAGAAAGCGCATTGTGGTCCTCAGGCAAACGACATCATGCACAAGCTGCATCCGCATATTGTGACAATTGCTGAAGGTACGCAATACCTTTTTGAATCCGTCGATACATTGATGATGACCGTAGCACAGATGTGTCTGGTATGCCAACCCTTTGTAGACCTGTTGCTGAAGGGGGTATCGGGTTTGATTACCGGCTGGCGATGGCGATTCCCGATATGTGGATTAAGCTTCTGAAAGAGAAGAAGGTATTGTTCACCGTTAGTACCTGCTGAAGGTTACGAACTATTTATTGAAGTGCACATTTACATCGAAGGACGAGGCATGGGACATGGGCAACATCACTCATACTTTGACCAATCGCCGCTGGAAGGTATCCTAATAACGTCCTGGGTCATTGTCATGAAGTCGCTCAAATATATATTTTTTTTTCCAGGAACCGACCGTCGCGTACTGCGAGAGCCATGATCAGGCCCTTGTTGGGGACAAGACCATTGCTTTCTGGCTAATGGATAAGGAGATGTACACCAATATGTCAAACCTCACTCCATTGACTCCAGTGATTGACCGTGGATTGGCGCTGCACAAAATGATCAGATTAATAACTTACGGACTGGGGGGTGAAGGCTATCTTAATTTTATGGGCAATGAGTTTGGACATCCCGAGTGGTTGGTGAGTACTACTGTTGGACTGGCGCAATTTAACAGTGTTTCAATGCGGGTTCAATAAATGATACTGCGTCATTAGGATTTCCCACGTGCGGGAAATAACAGTAGGTAAAGTATCGCCGCCGATGCGAGGTCCTATGAGCTTGTTTCTCAATTCGACCTTTGTTCTCAAAAGCTTTCACTACGCGCGCCGTCAATACAATCTGATTGATGACCACCTTCTACGCTATCAATATCTCAACAACTTCGACCAAGCGATGCATGCCCTGGAGAAACAATCTCACTGGCTGCAAACCACCCAAGTAAGCCCTCGCTATTGCGCGATTCCTTCCTGAGAGACATTTGCCAACTCCCGATCCCGCTAGTATGTGTCTCTCAAGCACGAAGGCGACAAAGTGATCGCATTTGAACGCGGCAATCTTCTCTGGATCTTCAACTTCCATCCTTCTCAGTCATTTTCAGACTATAGGGTTGGAACAAACTGGGCGGGTACATACAGGGTCGTTCTTGATACAGACTGGAAGGAATTTGGCGGACATGAAAGGGTGGACCGGAAGGGCAAGTATTTTTCCACTCCTGAGGAGTGGGCTGGAAGGAAGAACTACATTCAGGTGCGGTTGCATTACGCTCTTGGGGCTTTCACGAGACAGAAAATGCTAACCTATCGTATACGCTTTGGCAGGTTTATATCCCAAGTCGGACTGCTCTAGTTTTAGCTTACCAATGAGAAACAGTAGCGCTAGATCATCCTTCGTTAGGAAAGCGTGATTGCAATTAGAGACCAGGCATTCTGCCTTTGTTTGTGACTGTCCACAAATCTCACTTGACAATGTTAAGTGTTCGCAAATGGATTGTGCGATTGAGGCCCAAGTTTAAGATGAGGATATCAAGCTCGCAACTTTGCTTGAAATCTGACTATATATAATATTACTTAAAAAAACCATTTGCTTTAAAATCTGAAACTCGGATGCATCTATAGACAAGAATATGACATAAGTAACCCGGTGCAGCAGGTTAGTTCAGCTCCACAATCCTCGCCGTCTGAGGTCCTGACAAGTCCTCACCCACCCTCCGACCACCATAGGGTCCGGGTTGTGCTCCTTCCGTTGGAACAACTGGCGCAAAGAAGCTTGCGACATTTTCCATCAAAGATGCGGGCGGTGTATCCGGCAGTCCTCTCGTCTCACCGCTTCCGCTCAGTCGTCCACCACTTGCCACTGCTTGGCCCCACGCAGCCCACCCTACGATGGTCTTCCATAACCAGTCAACGGCGTTGTCCCCTCCGATCCTTCTTAAATCCATCACCTTTCCAACTACCATTGCTGCAACCAGCCCTTTCAGCATTGCTTTCCATGCCCCAAAACCGCCGAGGGCGCACAGGCATAACGGAATGTAGACAGGTTGAATGGGAAGGACGCCAAAAAGCGTTAGCGATGTTGATGGGGTGGTTATTGCCCAAAGCCAGCGGAAGGCGTACTCTAGGTTGGGGTAAAGCGAATATGGAAAGAGGAGAAGGGACGGTGTCGCTGTGGTCAGGAATGAAGTAGTGGACACTGGCGCTGGAGGCGCGCAGTACAAGGCTAGTTCGATGCCGACCAAGACTACCCCCGCCAACAGTTGAGCTCTCAGAAAGTGGTTATCTAGAACTAACCACTCCAAGGCATTCTTCCGTCCTCCATTCCTTTTTCTTCTGTTTTGCCCCTCTCGCAGGACGACGCCGTCCTGAACGAGATCCCCTTCACCGTCGAACCACTTTTCTAATGGTGCTTGCCAATAGACCATGCCCACAGCCCTTTGAAAGACTTCAACAACGCCGTGACCCAAAACACAGAATCCCGTTATCCCTCGCCATAGTTGATATCTTGGAGCAAGGAAGAGGCGCGGGTGGAAGAGGAGAGTGCGGTAGGGTGTTAGACCTATGAGGTGGGTTAGATGAATCGTCGAGCCCAAGGCAATTTGCAAAGTTGTGTGCGGAGAGCTGCGAATGTGGGATTGCAGAGTGTGCGTAAGAGTTGATGGGGACATTCCTGTCAAGGTAGTGACGGTGGCGACAAATGTGGAAATTGAGGTTCCGTCTTCACCTCCGAGAAGTCGGGGCCTAGACATGCTTTTGTTCATCGCTTCTGGCGGTTGTATTAGTGAACGGAGACCGAGAGACGCTTGTCTACAGTCGTAAGCATGGTGCGAGTGCAACTGCAAAAGTGCGGTCGACCACATCGATTGTGCTTCTGAATAAAAAAAAACTTTATGAACAAATGTAAACCTTCTTTAACGAGAATGTAAGCCAAAGCGTAGCATACCCTCCATACTGGAATCCGCCGTTACGCCAGCCGAGTACCAGTATATTGACAATTGTAAACAAGCGCTTGTTGGAAATCTTACAGCTGCTTGCCGGCCTGCTTGGATTGTGGCTGTCATGGCAACAGCCAGCACAGCCACCTCGCTGTCGACAGCGACAATGGTCATTAGCAATCACCTAAAGATTGAATTTCCAACACGTGTTCCGGCTCTCAGCACGACCTTTACCCTTGGTTTGAGCAACCAATACCTCCCTTTTGTTTGTCCGAAGCCCCATGCCCGAGGATGCTCCGGTCCCTACATCCCAAATTGCGTCCACTAGCAGAACCGCTGCTGAATGCACGCGATTTGTATGAACTTAAAACTGCCAGACCTTCTACTTATAAAAACCGATCGGAAGGAGAATGTACGCGATTTGATGTGGGAGTGAAGTGCGTCGGAGAAGTGCGGTTTCAATGTGAGTGTTTTCTCGTGCCAAACGGTAGCCTGTAGCATGCCGGCAAGAGGGGAGACGAGGGTAGATGGACTGCGAACTTCTCTCAATAGCTGTTTGTCAATCATTGACTGCTTGTCGTCTCTGCGCTGTGCTCCATAGGTACTGTCATATTCGATCTGGGTGACTTGGAATTTCCACCCGACCTTGTCTGCGAAGACTTCCCGCTCAAGTATGGCGATATTAGACCTCTCATCGAATGGCGATCTGGCGATAGAAACGCTCTATGGAAGACCTTTGATGAAATCGGAAAATTGTATCAGGTCAGCTTTGTTGATATATTCTGCCGATCTGTGGAGGGAGGAATACTCAATGTGCGACCCTCCTACATAGCACTACCAAAGACAGAGAATCACGGAGCTAGGAATTGAAAGGATACAGTTTGACTTGAGTAGCTTTGACCATCAGAAAGTGAGATTGGTCCTTACCACTCTATGGGACGTACGCCGTATTGGATTCTCATTGCTTGGGGCTTCCTCGTGCAGGACCTTCAGTGCTTCATGACAGCCCCTGAGTGGATGTCAACCGACGCAACCGTAAGTGCTCTTATCCGTGCATGTTACCGAGATTTCTGTAATTGAACGGTACTTCTAGATATATATATACATGCCCGTACGCGTTGATGACAAGGATGAATCAAATCTTCTGCTTTTGGATATCAACGAGAGCTCTGTTCTCGTAGGTAAATAGCGGCGTTGATATCTCGCTTTCTCAAGTGTAAGGATTGGGACTGTGCATTGAACGTTCTTTGGCGACTCTAGCACGGCTGACTGTGATGTTCCATGTGTATGAAGGAGAGGTGAAGCAAATCGAAAAGCAGATACAGCTTCCCCCGCAGTGGAAAGATATATACGTCCCGAAGGTTGGTGAATATTCTGCGCATATGATCCATTATATTGCACACCTTTAATCGTCAAAATATTGTACCGCACAGATACCTGATTATCCTCTCGATGCGACGTTGTTCGATTATATGCTTGAGGTGCAAAAGTACTTGGCAACTGTGCATTCCAACGTCATTCAGCGGATCGACAGGAGACGGGAGTTTGTGGAGACCATCGTAGCTACCTTCAGAAGGTAAAGCCAGCATATCATTTTTTCTTAACCCAGTCTGATCCTAAGGTCTGAACTCGTTGAGAGTCATATACTTGAATATGACTCGAGAGAGTGGTTTTATGCGTCTTTTTACTTTGAAATTCCACCACCACAGACATCGCCATCGGATTTGTCACCTGTGGATCGCAAAAACAACTCTAGGGCTGTAGCAAATGGTACGGGCTGGGGCAGCCTATATTGCGCGTGTCCCTCAGGTGTTTATGCCTAATATGGATCCTAGTTCATCTGTCCCAGGATTATCCGGACATTCCACCAGAGGTTTTCCTCCAGTCAGCGTCAATGTTTGCAGATGCAGACTCGTATATACCGGCAACTGTGCGCTTGAACGTCGACTTTGGACTGGTTGGGATGTGGGGGTCGGAAAGGGTCTCGTGCGAGGAAGCAGTTGAACGATTTCGGTAAGCGGTATTCGGTTATCATGTTTACGACAATTATTTGACCAAAGTTTGATGTCTTTTAGTAATGCGTTACTGGAGCAGATACCCACTGCATTCGCATGCATCCCATGAGAACACGGTTCGCTTCAACGCGAGGGAAAAATCCGTCGTTCGACTGGAAATTCCTTTAAAGTTTCAACTACTTCAGACCTTTGAAATAAAATAAATAACTGTTTATTTTTGTCTGAACCGCTGGTGGTTTTTATGTCCATTTGCTTGACGGTTTCATTTTGACCTCTTCATCCATAAATTGCTTTCATCGCTTACGTATGTGATCTGGCATGTGACGCAACCCACCACCACACGCGAAGTTAAGCGTTCAACGATCCCATTGGCCTTCCACAAGACATGTACCTAATACCCTCCCAAACGATACACCTCCGCCAGCAGCTTGACAACTGCCCAGTTGACCACGATGCTGTCAAGCTGGCGCTCGGTTCGTTTATCACAGCCGGCCTCTTACTGTCCTACGTACCGCAGGTATTACCATTTTGAAGAATTTCCTACTGGTGCGCCAGCAACTTGGGAGTCTACAGGGATCGCTTAGAATAATACTACTTGTAGTTCATTAAAATTGTGCAAAGAAAAACGAGTGAGGGACTCTCATTATGGTTCCTGTTCTTGGTGGGTTTCTGCAAGTTCCGCGTTTGCGGCCTTTGAAGTTGACCACGACACCACTTGATAGGGCGCTGTAGGAATGGCGTCAACTGTTGGCAATATGGCGCTGCTTCAATACCCTTATGTTCTATGCTGTAAGCGACCCACGGTGAGTACTTTGACGCTGTCGTATAGGTATCCCGCAGGGAAACTTTTCTTATCGGCATTAATGGACGACCAGTGGACGCCTTTGATGTGCTTTGAAAATACACTCGGACTAACACAAGTGGGCATTCAAACCGTTTGCTTTATGACATGGTCAGTTCTTCGCTCGTGGCTCGAACACGTTCTTCATGAGGAATGGGTTTAACGAGTTGTTGACCGTCTCCTTAGTGTCCTGCTATACTATGCTTACTACCCAACCGCCAAAAAGCACATCCCAAACACCGTACCCCCAGCATATACGTCCCAATGGCGACGATCCCTTTATATTGGTTGTATCATCATCATTTGGACAGTCATACTGACTGTAGGCGTCATAGCGATTTTGACTATTGATGCTGACGCGCTGGGTTACTCGCGTACCGCGGAATGGGTAGCGGGTGTTTTGGGGTTGATTGCGATGCAAACGTCGCTTATGCAGTTTTTCCCTCAGATAGTACATACCTGGTTTGCAAAGGTATAAATCTGAGCATGTCACTTTTCTGGTTCCTGTGCGTATTCTAAACGACTTTTTGGCGGCCGATATATGCAGGCAGTTGGGGCTCTTAGCATTCCCACAATGCTCATGCAATGTCCAGGTACGCTATTTCACCTCTAAAAGGGCATCAACAATGTGATCACTCACGATTGTTTCATATACAGGGTCTTTCATCTTTGTCTACTCTCTTGCTGTCCAACCTGGTGCGAACTGGACCTCATGGCTTCCCTACCTCGTAAGCGGCGTACTACAGGGGGTGCTGCTAACCATGTGCATCGTGTTCTCCATGAGAAATAAGGAGGATTTGGAGGATGGTGTGCAGGCACCGTTACTGGGCCCCGCAGATGAGGGAGTAGATGTCCAGGTAGAAGATCAAATCCTCGCTGATGGGAATGCACCAGATTATGGTACTATAGCATCGAAAGCAGAAAGGTAGATAAATTCTGGAATGCGTACCTTTCCTCTCAAGATACGTGTAATCGGTAGACCTCAAAAAGCTTCATGTGAGGATGTATATTGCTTTCGCTTTTCAAAGATATATCACCGCATTTAGGCCATAATACTATCAATATCAATATATATATATAAATGTGTGTGTCTGTTTATTCAACAGCCATGGTAGTCTCGAATATCAAATTGTGTGCCACATCCATGCTTCACAACAACGTTTGAATGGACGAAGGCAGGTAACTCCTCATCTTGGTCCTTGTTTTCTCCAGCCCAGCCTTACCAGCCTTCATGATTGAAGACGATGAGGCATCATGTTGCTGGTTCTGTTCGTCTGCGACTAGAAGGTCCGATATAAGTTCTACTAGACTTCGGATCTCGTAATACTCTCCTTCGGTTTGCAATTCACGAAGGGATTGCTTGTCCTCAATTTGAGTTATAGTGTCAACGCCTAGTAAAAGACATGAGTAACGGTGCAAAATACCGTTGGCGTGTGCAGACTTACCGCGCAGCCAATTCAAGATATGCCTGAATTGTGTCCCATCCCTGTCGATAAAGTATGCTCCATCCGTCATGCTGCACTTGATCCTGCCCTTTGAGCTGTTCCCGAATAGTTGCGCTAATAGCGACTCAGGGTCAGCGCAGAGTGTCGCGCGGGTTGTGGTGAAGGGTATCCCGCCTACAGACAGCTTGATGGTTTGGGTAGGGGAAGGTGCAAGCGAGAGGTCAATCAAGTTACTAAGACGTGTCCGCAAGGCAACAGCGGTGGTGGTGGGTTGGATGGTTGGTGACGGCGGAAGTGGTTCTGGTGTTGGTTGGGGGGAATCGGAAGGTGAAATCGGGACAGGTTCGCGCGACTGGGGACGTTGATAGGGCGGCGTCTATGTGTACATTAGCAACTTGCCATCGTGAATAAAATGTAACAATGGTTAACAAACCTTTTGATATGCAACAACTGCCCGTAGCACCGCCATCGCAAACACTCCACTAATCCAGACCTGAAATCTCACAAGAGCCTGTCCCCATACCACCAGCTTTTGCTGAATTGCGTATTCCGCGTCTAGAATGCGCAAGAAATCTAGAGTGTGGTCCAAGATCTGTGTGAGGGTCGAGGGAATGGGAGACTGTTTGAGGAGAATGGCCAGAGTAACAAAGACATTTGTGATCGTGTGGGATATCAGAGTCAGGAGCTCCGCTGGAACATTTAGATATAAGAATCCCTGTCAGAACACAACAATGGAGACGACTTGTCCCACTACCTCCGTTTAATGCTTCTCTCTTCTTTGTCCCTTTGCTTCCGTCGACGCCCTGTTCGGCAGTCTCCGGCACATGGTCATCGCCCCGCGGACCTTCTTTCTCCATTCTAACTCTTGAGGCACTCTCCGCCACTTCCACTTCTCGGTACATTTGTGACTGAAACTCTCTAACAAAGGAAAACACCCTGGAGTTCACTGTAACGGCGCCTTGAACGAGGCGTATACCAGCGTCTTCCAGCCAGGCTTGGTCTGTGTGCTGCGAAGACATGTCGCTCACGCCAACGGTTCGAGGAGTGGTATTGGAGGCACGCGGAGGTGAGGACGTAGGAGTAAGTGTGCGTGTGAGAACAGAGGGTAACATGACTGCTGTGTTCCGTCTGATGGCAGGCTAATCTGCGTTCTTCAAAACGGGGCGAAAGGCTGCAAGTATGCCTGCAAAGCCCTTGTTATCCCTTTTTTTTTTGCAAGTGACCCCTGCAGCTGTCCCTTCGGACCTTTTCAAACGAGAGGCACCAGGAAAGACCATCATCAACACACGTGTAAAAACGCGGGATGGACGCGCTTGAAGGGAAACGCGTTCGTTTTGGTCATTGCGAGGACGATGGCATTCGTCTTTTTGAGCATTTCGGAGAGGAGATGCCAATAAACATGCATGGGGGTCACAGCAGTCAAGACGGGTGGGCGTTAACGAGAAGAAAATGTGTTGTCGTGGGCTCAAAAGGGCCTTAATCTGTCTGCAGGCCAATAAGAATTCGCAAGTGTGCCTTGACGATGCAAATGTCGTCAAGCTATTTGTAAGTCAGGACAACAGCTCGCACATTGAGAAAAAGGCCCCCACGATGTATGAACCTGTCCATGTAATGTCCATCCGGATGCAGCATTCATTTGAAGCCAGTCGCGGATGCGCCATTCCAGTTCATTGTTCACCCCACGCCCACGCATCACTCCATTCACCAAATGGCATCACCTCTTTTGTTCAAAATGCTGTCAAATCCACTAGTGTTAAAGAGTTTTTCTGTCCATTTCAGTGCATGCCAATGACATGACGCGTAGACGAGTTTGCCGAAACGATCCTTCAGGCTTGTCGATCTCAATGGGAGAAGATCAGCGGAAACGAAAAAGGGAGGACCCGCAGGACGAGACTCGCTCGACATCTTCTCTCAAAGACTCCTCACCATCGAAACCTCCACCGCGACAATCGTCAAAGATTACCGTGGCTGGCTTCCCTTGGCAGTATCTAAAGATTCGGCTGTAAGGGCATGCGATAGGAAGGCACCTACACTTTACTGATTCACAAACCATTCATAGAACGACCGAACCTCCTTCTGCTCTTGAGCAAGTGCACTATCGGAATGCTATCAACCACGCTCTACAGGAAGCCTTTGGAGCGGTGGGGGCGGCACACCATGTAGATCTTCTTGATTTCGAGCAAGATAGTCAAGAAGGACTGATAAGAACGCCATATAAGTATGTGTGCATATTGACTGAACCTTTGGCCAGCGATACTGTTGGGATTGGTCGTCAAATACTCTGCCATTTCCGTGCTCACATCTCCCTGGAATATTAGGTCTCTTCCGACTGTTCGAGCGGCCCTCAGCCTCCTGCATGAATACCAAAGCAAAGAGTGTCGATTTGACGTGCTGGACTCGTCCCCTTATTTGTTCACATTCGCTTGCAACAGTCGCCAATGGAGTAGCCAACACAACCAACACCCGTAGCGTTCAATTGCAATGCGATCCTTACCATCCCCAAGACTTTCCCCGTTCGCACTACCTATATATAAACCCATCCTCCCTCACTGTGTATAATCTTCGTTACAGACTTTAATACATGCTATTTTTGCCTCCGGACCACATGAGCCAGTCCTTGGATCACACTCTCTAGGATTTGCACGACAAAGTGCGCTTCGGGCCAGCATCTTGCTCGCTGAATCATGGTACATCTTGCAGGACTATGAGTCCTCCTGCATGATGACACTACCTCCTTCGACAGGAACTTCCTTGACAGGCACCGGTTTCGGCTGTGGTTCAGGTGATTCCGTCGGACCAGCGAGCGCTAGGGCATGTGCTGCAATAGACGCCAAAGCGTCCGTGGCTGATGTAGATGTTGGTTGATCAACCTCGTTCACCATGGATTCGGATGGTGGGGGGAATAACTCGTCTTTGAGATCAGGAAGGAACGAGTCCACATACTTCCATGTCAGCTCCCACAAATTTTGACTTTCCCCTGCTGCCAAAGTCACCTCCGCTGACGGTTGGAACACCCCTTGTGTGGACATTACCAGAAGCATATTTTTCAATGACTCTTGCACACCTTCGTACTGCGTACAGATGAGGGTCAGTATGATAAACATTGTTGGTTATCACTGGGAATTTACCAAATAGTCCGACTCTCCCATGCTCATTTGCTTCCTCATATAGTCCAAGATTTTGATCCATAGTTGAGGGAGCTCCTTCCAATTCTGCAAGCGCGGGAGGTATTGTAAAAAGATCTTGCACAACAGGGCTGATGCCCGCATACGCGTCTCATCCATTCCAAGTGGATCTATGCGTGTCATTTCTGGTCGAAGAAGCTCATCAAGCATTGGGAACAGCACAGTCTCGAAGGAATCAGCCCACACGCTGGGTGAACCAGGGCCACAGCCGGTTTCCAGCTCGGGAGACAGAAGGGTTCGCTGCAAAAGGGTAAGTGCATGTTGTCGTACTTCCCGAGCGGGATGGTACGATTGTTGGCTAAGTCCGGAAAGCACAGGCAACCAGAATTCAAAGAATGCTGCAACATGAAGAGCAGCTCAAGGTTAGCAAAACAGTGAGGGCAGAATGCCTACGAGTCTACTTTGCACCTCTGTTGAACTTCATTCCTGTTTCTTCGACCAAACTCGGTATTTTCAAGTGTAATTTGAATAGTTTGTCCAAAGCTCGTAACGCGCGTTCGATTGCTACCTGGGTTAGCTGACTAAAATAGGCTATATTACTACAAAAGGTTTCAACCAAAAAAAAAGCAAAAAAAAGCAAAGCACCAACCTTTTAACCGGCGTCAGTCTTTCCCTGCTCCCCAAACGAGGACTTGTCGGTGCACTCGATGAAAGGTTTACACTCTCTCCGCCGATAAGGCCTGTACTTCGCCCGCTGGGGGATGCTACCGCAGAGCTGAGCACAATCCCTCCTGCGGCTGCCGCGAAACTAATCAACAAATCAACGCATTCGCTGAAATTATGAGAACTGACGCATGAATCGGCATTTTCCGACACTAAAATGCAGGTAGCCTCAAAACTGAAGCGTGATGCTTCTGGATGGACGGATGTGCGCGAGAGAAACCCTATCACAACCTCCCAACGTGCGTTGCGCGTGACGAGGCTTGGGTCAGACTTGAGCAGAAAGGCGATACCCGCCATGAGAGGTTCGGCGACGCGGTTGAAGGCTTCAGGTGAAAGGGAGTTAACCAAATCAAGCGATTGGAGGATTCTCTCCAGCATGTCATCCTACAAAATAAACCAATATCCAGTTAATTCAGCTGGCAACCGATCAAGCCTGTTTACTATCCAGTAAACAACGTAGAAAAGGTGTAAATTGTTGCGCACCTTATGACCTAGTCTTTGCACCAATCTAAGCAAGCTGGTAACCCCCCGTTCCACCAAAACGGGGTGACAGTCGCCAGAGCTCTTCAAAATACCGCTGATGTGCTCTAAGACAAGGGGCCACAAAGTCATAATACGGTCCCGATTTTGGATAGTGATGGCGATGAGCAGCTCCAACAAGAAGACCGCTGCGGAATCGTACTTTCGAGCTGCTTGATCAGATGGTAGGGGTGCGGTCACAGCTTCACTTCTCTCTGCGCGTGCATCTGAGCCGTCAGGAGACACATCCTGCCCTTCCTCCAGCTCGCGCCGCCTCCAAGTAGAATGCTCAGGATCACGATTCTCTTGCACAAAGGACGCCTGCGAGATTATTTCCACTAGCAAACGGAGAGTATCCTCTTCAAGGAACCTGAACATGCCAAAGACATTAGCCCTTGGTGTTTATGTGCGAAAATCAGCTTTGTTTGGCGTGTCGTACCTGCTATCTGCAAAAAGCTGCTCGATTCGGCACGATCGTACACAATGTATTGCTCGTTTCTCGTACTCGACTCCATCTGGCGTCGCTTCGTAATTATCAAAGTCATCTCCGTTACTTGAACTTAATGAAAGAAAGTTCGATAGCGTTGACAGCAATCCCGCTTCACGGCGTGATCCAGGTGCATTCGGTTTCCGCGATGTTACATCCTGGTCTCGTAGCCTGGAAATAACCACACTTCCACGGACAAAGTCTTCAACCTGAACCATTGACGCTGGGAGTAACGAATGCAGGAACAAGTTACGCAAGCAGCCGATTATCTATGACAATCAGCGGGAGGTTGAACAAGGGAAGACGAGGAAGCTCCAAGTGATTCAACAAGGATATACATACCCATCGCCAGCCGCTTTTCAGGCACGTTCCATACTCGCTTACAAGGGTGAACATGAGCACTGCGGCTACTTGGCCACGGTAGTTCCGGCCGATTTCTACACGCCAGGGATCAATCGGCCTTCTTGCGTTTCTGTCGTTGTTGGTATCCTCCATAGTAGTATCCGGTGGCAGTCTGCTGGTTTCTTTGAGCATGCCGGTCATCTTCGCCAATGAGATAATAAGGCTATCATAGAGTTCCGTTAGGCGATAATGTGCAGCCACAACTGCGCAATTGTGATAGCCTATAACGGCTTTCTGCAATGTCAACTGGTCTTCTGCATTATCGAATGCTAAAAAGAACAACATTGCGGTAAGGGGGATTGTGCAAGCGAAATATAGATCAAAAGGGCATACCATAAGATAAAGCCGAAAGGATTGAGTCGGATACAGTTCGTAGCATGTCTTTATCGTAGCAGTTCGTACGGCAGGTCAGAACGTCGCCCGCATGTTCAGCCTTTTTCATAAGCTCTTTCCACTGGTAATTGAAACCTAAATCCCCTTCATGCTCTTCAGGCATAACAATCTCGTTTTCCCGGATAGCCGTATACATTTGTTTCTGCGCGGGGTGTACCAGCGTTAGCATATCTTCATCCATGAAGTGATCTGCCTGCAAATTGGCACAATACCAAAAACTCTGGCGAGAAATCTTTATTTCCATTCAATCCCCGCAGATTTCTCATAAAGTCGTCTAAAGTCATTCTGCGCTGAATACGGAATGAGGGTCGTCTAGCAGGCTAATGAACTCAACGATGGTGTACCAACCCTAACTTGGGGATTGTGCTGATCAGTGTTCAACATAATCACCGAATACGCAAGAATAAATGTAGCATCCACTGTTTCGATGTCGTGATTTTCTTTGCCTGCGCCATGAGCCGCGGTTAGCATACTTGTGTGATGAACGCATAGCTCTAATCTGTTCCCGATCATACCCTTTATAGCGTCAAAATAAGCAGAAGCAAAATTCTGCATGATTCGCTCGATCTGCTGTGATTCACCAGGGAGTCGAAAGCTTTCCAGCAGCAACCTCAGTGCTTCATCGAATCGTTTCTGAACAGGTGTATCGGATGAGAATACCGTTCCATCAAATTCACTATTCCTGGCCAACTTACGTCACCAAAATCATACAAGCCAACAAATGCCTTAAGAACATCTACGTGCTTGGGTTTCGACAAGTATTCGCCGAGGAGCTTTTTATTTACGCTGGCCGTCGTTTTCAGGAAGCGGGCAAGACTTTCGGCATCCAGAGGATCGGGGAGGAAATTGTGAGCTGAATTGAATTTATATCAGTGTCAATACGTTTAGAAGGACCATATGCGATCATTCACGGATGATGAGAGTACCTTGCAGAAACTTCAACCCTTCCTTGGGATTGTCATTGAAGCGATCCGTGCCTTCCTTCAGTACACGCTTGCGAGCCTTGTTGAAACGAACGCTATCTGGGGGAGGGAGCTTCGCAAGTTTGAGCAGATGGTTCTCAAAATAGTGGTAGGGGTATAATATACCTGGCGATCTGTACATGGTGCCTCTGATGAGGTCTGAGGCCAGTCAATATATATGAATATACTCGTAGTCATATTTCAAATGTACCTGATATCCCTCCGGTGATTCTCCCAAGCTTGGTGTCATGAACTCGCCATTGTGCGATTTCCGTTCCATTATGTCATTGAGAACCATGAGAAGGGCATCAAAGCACAGAGTCTGGTGCGCAGTAGTTGATATCGGTCCACCAGGTGTTACATCGGGGAACGAATGCTACAAGAGAAAAGCTGATATCGGTATACGGACGTTAAGCCATCTCATACAGAGGTGTATCCACCTTTGCAAAGAAGGTCACGAGCTCCTCGAAAAGGTGAGACCGACGATCCATATCCCCGTCATAGTTCACATATAGCTCTACCATAATGCCTGGAATGCGGCATAACTGGATATGCGCCATATATTTTAAAGTTAATGTCAGTTCGCAACGTGCCCTGATTCCAACTAACCTGCGCCATGCTTTCTAGCATCAACTCCCGCGCTTCCCCAACAATGACCCCTCCTCTTTGCTGTGCCCCAGCAGCGCTTGCTCGCTGCCACGGTTCCTTGCTGTGTGTTTCTTTTTTCGCCCAGTCTTCAATATCTAAAGTGACCACACCTCCATCCAGACGGCCCATCGTCCACTCGAGAAACCATTCCAATTGCAACTTCATATGCTGGCGACTGGACTGAAAGAGTGTAGTTATACACTTCAGCGTAAGAGCCAGAATAGTCAAAGTCGTTACACTAGGTGATTGCGTGGAAGTGTATGCACTATTTTGCAGGAGCTATGACGAAAGCGTCAGTGTCAGTCCGGTAGTGAGACTCTTCAGCTGGCGTTCACACCTGAAAGAGGTACTTGCAGAGCTCATTCACTACCAGATCCTTCGCCAAATAAGGGGCGCGCTCCTCCCCATCCTCTGGAATTCCAGCTTCAACTTCTGATTGATACAAAGAACCTTCAGCCGAACCGAGTGAGGTGCGTCTCGAACTTGAGACATCACGCGAGTCTACATTTGCACCATCTTGCACTATTGATACATATGCGTTGGTACGTTCCGGCGATTGCCGTGGATCTGACGATGCACTCTCCTGTTCTTGAGACAAGGCAGACGATTGCGACAGAGTAGCAGAGCGGGTCACTTTGGCAGGGGCTCTGGTTTGAGGGGTTCGGCGGAGTGGCGAGGTTTTTTCATCGAGGAATCCCCAGCTGACGAGCTTGCCAAGAGAGCATCCTCCCACTTCGAGACCAGCATGAAGAAGAGTCAATGCCATTGTCCTGTGCATGGAATCTGTATGTTGTTTATTTCGCGGGTCCAATAACGTGACAAGAACTCGCAACATCTCTATGATTGCTGGTAGGCCAAATGGTTGAAATACATGGTGCACTGGAGTAGAGGGAGTCTCCTCGGCAATGACATTGCCACCAGATGAACTGGTATGAGCAGGAGGGTCGCCTGCATCGATCCCTGGATCTCTATCGCTTACGTGAGGTTCTTCCACATTTGACAAATGGTGCCCATCTTCCAACGTATGATGTCTGGCAAGGTCCTGTCGCACTGTTTTAACCCCACCATCCGGCAAAATATAATCATTGCTCGCAAAGGTAATTCGTGGCCCATCGTCTTTAAGAAATTCCGTTTGACCATGGTCCAGTGTTGATGCCTGCGATCCTCCCACAGATATCATATTCAAGTCCGCAGATCGATGGCCCTCCGACCCCTGCTCAAAAACTGATATTGACGGAGATATGCCACCACTTTCCGCATGATCCTCGTCGGATACGCCCTTATGATCGGCAGCAGAAGGGCGACGAGTTGGATAAAGTTGCGGGGTCGCAACGACACTACCGCGCAACCTCGCACCACCCTTCTCTATTGGTATACCAATGGATGTGGGTCCGAAGACAGATCGGTTGTCTTCGTGCTCCTTGGCTCGAACCAAGACCGTCAATCTAGCGACAAGATCATAAGACGGGATGACTCGAAATTGGCCGGCCCATCCGTCATGTATACCTTTCAAATAGTGCTTGCACCAACATTATAAGAGTCTGCTCGGCAGATCTCCGTAGAAGTTCTAGTAAAAACGAGCAGGTTGACAAAAATAGAGGTAAGCTTTGGGAAAACCGTCCGAAAGCTTACCAGTTATCCGGCCTTGAAAAAACATCCCAAAAGCAACTTCCACCATCTCACAGATGCCCTTGTCATCTAGGCTCTTCTGACCAGCTTCTGACTGGATGATGACGCGCAGAAGTCCCAAGATTTTGGCTAACACGGCTTCATCTGAAACTGCGTCAGTAGCTTCAAACTTGCAGCGTGTAACAGAATGCGTAAGAGCAGCCATCGCAGAGGGAAGGCCTGGGTGATTCGGATCTGCGGATATCTGTTAAGATGCGTGTCCCGGAAAGCGAACACTCCACAACCGACTATACCCAAGACTCGGTATGTGATAAATTTCTCTACGCTACTTAGTGCAGCTCCTGTGATGGGTCCAGTAGTGTCGCCACTTCGTATAACCTCGAGAAACGGCTCCAGTAGATGTGAGGGGTCTAAATCCCGCAATTCTAATCACGTCATTTGGGTGAGTTCGAGAGCTTTCTGTGTCAACACAAGCACAGAACTCTGACCATTTAGGAGCATCAAGCGTGCTCGTAGCCGCGCAAATCCCTGTAATAAGGGGTTCTCCTGACCCGCAAAATCAGTCGCAGAACTTGAGCATCGCATTTCTCCAGTGAACAAACCTCAACTCCTCCCACACCCCAATCAGCTGGTCCTAATCCACGCGTGAAATCTACCAAAGCATCAAGATGTGCACGACCATGCGCAACTACATCTTGGCAGAAGTCGTACGGTACAACAGAAGGCATGTCTTCTCGTCGAACTCTATCAGCGTGTATACTCCATCGTTGGTTTTTGCGCATAGCAGCAGTAACGCTCACTATCTCCGCCTGAACAATGTATATCCAGTGGCTCTCTGGTCTTGCGTGTTTCGGTCTGGGGAACACTGATCTACCGTCCCCTACGTGCACACCACCGACATTGGCTGGTAGAACACTCGACACAGCGATCTGCTCATTCCGGAAGTCCATATTTCCAAACCCAGCGGGGGAAATATATACCGCTCACAACAGAAAAGCTGCGCTCTTCAATATGTCTACCCAACAACGGTGGAAATTACCAAGCGCAAGATGGGCCTCAAGAACCGCAATTATGCTGCTTTTAGCGAGAGAAAAGCTTAGAATTCAAAAGGTACTGCCCAGTAGGATGAAGAATATCGTCTCCTTACCTCTGCAACCCTTTGCGACACCTCCCAACGCCCAAGGAATGCCGCGAGCCACGGCGGCAGGAAGGCCTGGCTGTTGGAAGGTCAATGTGCGGAATCGCCACGAATTTAACCACACAAACCGGATGGAATGCATATGGATCCAGTGACATCAGATATTGCAAGCACGTAATCGATGTGCTTTTGTAGTTCCCTTCTTTCAATCCGCTGGAATTTGACAAAGGAATCATGGCCACCACCGTACGCACTGTCCGTCGTTTTCTGTTAGAAAGTTACAAGCCCCGCGTATTACATTCTGGTGAGTGCTGCTACCGTTTCTGCGGCATTGCGGATGTCATGGTCCTTATCCTTTTCAAACAGCGCGTGCGGCATCAACGGTTGCGGGTAGGGAAGTTTTCTCGCCTGCTGTCGCCTTTCTAATTGATAGCAACCATATCGACATTGACACGGTTCGTCGTTTGCCGCGAACCGGTAGGTTACTTGTACCTTGCACCAACCGGCTGTAGCTCGCGACGTTGGTTAACATTGAACGCTTTCAAGGGCCGAGGAATAGACTCTTGAAAGGGGATGTGCTTCGTTTTCTGTCAGATCCAAGTGTTTTGGACCAAGCAGTCAATGCGGGGCACACACAAACGTCTCAAGGAGGCGCGCTTGCGGAGGATGCTTCTTTGATACCACCGTCGTACTACGGGACGGATGTGGTCGTCAACGAGCTGGTGACGTTCGTCAAGAACTTCAACGGTATGTCGCGATAAGCTCCTATCTCTATATACAGAGCATAGCTAAATTCTTCCATCTCAGATGCGCGAAATTCTAAAATATCCATTAGCGACCTTCTAACCCGAGCATTATATTTAGCACTACAGACTGTCCCGGAAGGTATTCAACAATGCATTTACGTCGTTATACGATTTTGACCTCGAGTCTTACGTGAGGCATGTGGCTTTCAATCGGTCCTGACAGTTAACACACGATGGAACGAGCAGACACAAGCTGCGGAACCAGTCGAGCCAGTTCAAATTCTAATAAATCGTCTGTCCGCTTTTGGAATCTCACGAATGGTGCTGCGAGACCCAAATGAGATAGGAGGTGTTAAACTCGGCAAGCTTTTCAAGGTGAGTTTATGCGCTGATTTGCCACGATTGCACACAAGTAGTGGCTGAGTAATCGTAATTGCTCGTGGTAGGATGAAGGCAACACAGCGGACAGCACTCGGGGACTATTCAGGTACGCAAGAACCTCTAAGATTTGTGGAAATCCGGTCAACTAAACCACTATTCGTCTATAAAAGCATATATGATGCTGTCTTATCTCCTTTCACCGAAATAGAACCTTCTCTGACCTCTCGTCAGACAGCCCTCTTCAATATCTCCCCAATACGCAAAGTACATCGCATTCAAGACTCGACAATAACCTCAAAAAGTAGCGACGTGTTGGACTACCTCGCCGGCAATTTTGTATCTCGAACTCCACAAGCATCTGTCAAATGGCATCCCAATGAACAATCGCCCTCTATACGATCGAGGGTCCGCGACGAGATCGACGTCTTGGCACAGCCAGGGCTCAGCAGTTTTTATACAGGATACTTAGATGGCGAGTGTGAGCCTATGGTGAATTACACACTTTCCGTGGACTTGACGGTGGATGCAAGAGCGGTATCTGAAAAGACGGCAAAGAAGTTTTTAAGTGTATGGCAAACGTTGCTGAAAAATCCCAAAGCACTGCTTTGAAATTAAGGTTGTCGGCGGTCTATTTTTCATCTTTTCTTTCTTTGGCTTTCGAGATCATTGCTTAAAAAGCCCCCTCCTCTAAACCTACATTAAATACAATATTATGTACATTTGCTACGTGTAACTTCTATGTAATATCTATCCACTTAAAATACTATCTTCCCACAGGAGCCAACCTTCTCAATAAGTCTATCGCTCCCTCCAATGCCACCATGTCCTCTTTCATGGCCATGGTGCCAATAAAGGTACCATTGGCGTCCAACGCACGATCGTATAGGTGGGATAATCTGGTTTGGAAGCAAGTGGCAAACGCTGATGCCTGAGCGTGTGAATTAATATATCCAAGAAACTGATCGAGCGGAGTGGGAAGCGAGGACACCCAAGGGACGTACGAAGTACTCTCGGTTGGGCTGGGCAAACATGTCATGGCTGAGGAAACAGACGAACACGGTGAGGTAGCCATTGTCGGGGATTGTGGCCAGTTAGTGGCGCTATGCGTGGTGACAACACGAATATCTGGCCTGCGCCTACGCCTGACTTGGTTCCCATAACGAGTGTGGTGTCCGGATTGAACAGGGTTACTGTTATCGAACTGGTACATGCTGGACATGACGGCCATGCTATGTGCATAGCGGAGCATGGACTGGACGGCTGAACCATTGGGATCATAGTCTTGTGAATCCTCCAAGTCCCATCCCGCGTACATTTCCTCTTCGTCGTCACCATACATGGGCCTATTGGTAGCCGTGACGAACTCATTCCACTGTTCCTCAGTAACAGGAATCTGCTCGAGCATGCCTTCGCGTGCCGAACTGTCGATCACAACAGGCCCTTTATCATCGTCGCTATTGTAGTCACGTTCGTCGGGGTCCGGAACCATCTCAAACGACATCTCTCCACCAAACACCAGAGGCCTCATCCCAGTTAGTGTTCGTCGCAAGATAGTAGGAGGGCCGAACTCTGAAGACGACCAAGAAGAGTCCGAGAGACTAATTGTAGTATCGGAAGCGTCGGAGCCCGCTCGACTCGGCGGTCGTAGTAGCATATTGGTATTTTCCATTTGATCGAGCGTTGGGTGGTAGTAAAAATATTGAGGACGATGGAGCTGCCTTCCTCTTGCTCGAAAGCGAAAAGTTCCGCTTGCTTATGTTATTGGCGTGGCGCAGCAGATCGCTTACTTAATCCAAGCCCGATGCTTTCAGCCCCAGGTTGGTAGAACGGAGGTTGTATTGACTTATTTTGAGATACTACTTTGAACAATGAGTAAAACTAACCAGTAAATAGGCATCAAATTCCTTTTGATCCTGCTTCTTATCCAATGAGAAGGAAAAGCAGAGGTATCAGGTTTTAAGTATATCAAAGGTGAGGAAGGAGCACTTCAGTCCGGAGCACTGATTCGAGCGCGTGCGTAACCCTCTATTCCTGTGAAGAATGGCCTATGGCGGTGATTAGTTTCATCATCGTAGTTCTATGACACTGGTAAGAAAGCTTACGTTTTTCTCTTACCGTTTCAGTCACCCATTCAGTGCTTTGAAGTGCTGATGGGTCTTTGAAGTAATGTGATGGCAGTCGATTCTGGGCCACTAGATCATGAGTGCTCGGACGTATGCTGGTTCCAGTCTTGCGCCGTCAATCTTCCCTTCCATAACAACTTGTCAAGTCGCGATTATACTCCAAAGGTAAAAGATGGACCGACGGTGCTCGATATTGTCAGCTGTCATCAAGTCAGTGCATCTTTGAGAAAGGTGCGGAGCACAGGGAATCTTTTGCAAAGTCGGAACTTGGGACGGTTCCCGCATTCCCGCCGTAGCGCGTACTTGAGATTAGGCACAAACACCTGCCCGACCATATCTCAATGAAATAATTCCTTTCCTGCCCTGACGCTTCTGATCAATGTCAGTTATCCTTTCCCAGCCCAGAGCGGCGTAAGATCCCTTGGTCAGTTTATCATCTCTGCTCATATCTCTTCGACCGCTGAAGTGAACAGCAACTTTAATAAGGGGCCAAACGCCATTGAGAGAAACGCCTTGGTGCCCTCGTTAAATGATGGCATTCATCGAGAACAATGGTGGAACCATGGTTTTGAAACATGACTCCCGAGCAACCGGGAAATGTTTGCTCTGCCTGCTGGTCAGGTATTTCCTTCCACCAACTCGCGTCCAACAGAGAGCTCTGTAGTATTTGGAGAATGCATCCTCTTAGCCCTTCAGGGCAGGTCAGCTGCAACTTCAAAGATCCAGCTATGGCACATGTATTCCCATTGATATCCCATTTAAGAATGTCAAAAAATCTACCGGCCGGTCTTCCCCCGCAAATTCGTACATCATTAGCAAGGCGGGAAGTACATATCGAACCAGACCGTTCTCGGACTGTAGAAAGAACACGCACAGCAGTAGCTGAAGAGCTTGTTATCAAGCCCGTAAAAGCTGCTGTTTCTTAATGAATTGCCGTGCATTCCAAGCAAAGATCCAATATTTATCGGCAACACGCCCGCCATACCTGAGATGTCGTCAAGAGGAAATTCCTGTTGCCTCCACAATATCCTTAGCGGCGCCAAGTTGAATGAACGTGCGATCGCATCTCTCTGCGAGTCTTCTACTTCTGATGAAGATCATACTTCATGAACCTCACCATGACGTGCTATTTCCAGACTAGGCTCCATATCAAGTAAAACTCGGCTAGTATCAGACCAGTGGATTACATTGAAATGCGTGTAATCCTGTTCGGAATTATCTGTCCGATACCAAACACTTCATGTTTTTTGCACTATCGTTAGATTTCAACGCTTTTGCACACCAAGTTCTCTTGGTTTGATACTCGTGATGCGGTAGTTTCCTGCATCTCGCAATTGTTGATTGGCAGCATAATCTGAGGAATCAGTGACTTGCCGTAGTCGGACGTTCCTCTCTGGCCTACTGAACGACCTTTGGCAGCAATGTCACCATGCTAAGTGATGACATCGATGCTTTGTCGTCGTAAACGGAAAGCCAAAAGGACCAGTTTGAATGGAGAGTAGCCCCCCAATCAGGGCTCCTTCGCCTTTTCAACAGTGCTTGTTCCTTTGCACTTGTCAAAGGACGACGAGTTTCCATCCAAGCCATAGCGAAACGCGCAGGAGGCGCCGTGACTTTGCCAACCAGAAATGACGTTTGATGCCGTCGTCCAACTCGCTCCGTAAACTCGTCGCTTTCAGCCAACGATGACAGCGTCAAAGTTTGTAGCAGTCGTGACCGGGGGAAATAAGGGTATCGGGAAGGCGATAGTTTCTGAACTCGCTAGGCAGTACCGCGGGAATACCCCTCTGTCCATTTACCTGACAGCGAGGTCGGATGACCTGGGCCGACAAGCTGTCGCAGAAACGCAGGGGCAGTTACACGGTAGCAACATCCAGGTTCAGTTCTTGCAGTTGGACATATCGTCGCCAGAGAGCATCAACACTGCCGCTAAAAAAATTCATGAAACTGCCGGTCATGTGGATGTCCTCATCAACAATGCCGCTATCGCCTTCAAGGGCGATGCGTTCGATGATAACGTAGCTCGACAAACGGTGGATACCAATTACACAGGGACAAAGAATGTCACCCTGGCATTTCTTCCCTTGGTACCGAAAAATGGGCGTATTATTAATGTGAGCTCCTCGGCTGGTAAACCTAGGATCTTGTCGGAAGATTTACAGGCAAAGTTTGCGCGAGACGACGTACGTTTGGAAGATCTGGATGATCTGATGGAACAATTTATCAAGGATGTTAGTGAGGGTACATACTCGAAGAAGGGATGGCCAAAGCAAGCTTATGGAGTGTCCAAAGTAGGCGTTACTGCCTTCACCCGCGCATTGGCCAGGCTGCCAGATGTGAAAGATCGGAATGTTTTAGTGGCAGCTTGCTGTCCAGGCTGGGTAAGGACCGATATGGCAGGACCGAATGCCCCTAAGAGTCCGGAAGAAGGTGCCCAGACACCGGTTTGGTTGGCGCTTGCTGATGTTGATGATATATTGCATCATGGAGAGGTGCAGAATGGAGGGTTTTACAAGGACCGTCAGAAAGCTGAATGGTAGTCAGATAGTTGGCAAAATTGGACTCCAAAATTTGGAAAAGTCTAATGTACATCAAGAAGGTGTCGAGTGTCTGCCATTAAGATATGAATGAAATATACTATAAAACAATAATCGGGCATATACTATACTAAATACTTCGTGGACGTGCCTATGTCAATGTCAACTTTCAAGTACCCCATCGCCCCTTCTACCAGTTTCCTTTTCTAATACAGCTTTAACGGCATCCGCGGCCTTGACTATTAGCGCGGCGTATGTCTCATATTCGGATGAAAACAGACCCATGTGGGCGTCAATCTCATTGAGACAAGGGTGTCCCACAGGCTCGAACAGGTGCGCTGTTTCCGGAGGCGGCAGGTTACAAAAGTGGCGATTGTTAGTAGGGGAGGCAGACGGGGCTGATGTTCGTGCGCTGGTAGGCACACCAGATGCAGAAGTAGGGCCTGCAGAAGGTGCTGTGGTGGTTGGAGTTGGTGTAGTCGTAGGCGCCGTACCAGTTGCTGAAGCAGGGACAGCTGCTGTTGTCAAAGGCGGAAGCTACCGAGTATCGAAAGACATTAGCATATAACTCATCATATTACCAGTAGCTGTATGATCAATCACCTCTACATAAAATCCCTTAAATGTCAGCCTCTTACGAAGTTCCATCTCCCTTCGCATCATTTCTACACGTTGATGCATATCCCGATGGGAATTAACCAACGGATATAGGAAATGTAAATGGTCTCGGATCTGCTCAGCGCCAGATATAACATAATGGCTTGCAAGACTGGTAGCTATCATGCTCGCCGGAATATAAGCAGCTGCCAGTGGTGCCACACTAACGGTGGTGTAAGCTGCAGCTGCAACAGCCGCGCCACCTAATGCATAGCGAGCCCATCCGGGCATGCTTGAGGTTGTTTTCGTGGGGGCTGCTTCGGTCGATATGTTCGTGGCGGGTTCTTTCGCTTCTGCAGATTCTGTGGTTGTCGGTGTAGGTTCAGGTGAAGGTGGTTGTGTTGGTGTTGACGTTGGTGTAGATTCAGATACCCCTTTCACATCCTGATCCGCCATTTCTATCAAAGCTGCAATTTCTGAAGTAGACGGCGGTGGTGGCGCCGGTGGGTCCGACCGGCCAACAGCTTTCTTAGCTGCGTCGATTACCCAAGCTGTACGCACCGGCAGAGTACGAACCATGGGTAATCCTGTAGGCACCTCGATCGTTTTTGGTGCGTATGCAGTAACCGTTTCCATAGCGGCTGGAATGTAGGCTTTTGCATTAAAAATCCCTTCGGTCATGATGGCATAGGCCTTGTTTGTTCCAGCTTGGGTTATGACGTTGGTGTGTAGTCCATAGAAAGGTGAATCAAATGTTATTATTCCACGGATGTTGACCAAAAATCGTATGCCAGAATCCGGAGAATGTTCATCCGTCCCTTCGAAGCCATCTTGTTCGAAAGACTCTGGTGATGTGTCCAAAGGAGTAGCCGTTTCTGCTGTAGTCGGTGGGAGGTTTACTACTGTCACATCCTCTTTCTTATTACCTCGACCCCATCTTCCAAACCAACTCGACACGCCCGCAGTGCCGGTCGCAGTGGTCGGAGAAACATTGGTTGTAGCACCGTCCACCTTGGCTTGCGCATCGGCTCGCTCCAATCGCTCCTCCACTTTCTCTTTATGCAGTGCATACATCCACTGATAAGCGTCGGCAGCCAACAAGCCACCCATGGAGTGCGCCATGAGAATCACACACTCGTACCGGACGGTTGTGGCATAAATCTCCAACCACTTCATGAGTTTCCGCACCGATTGTCCATTGTGTCCTCTTGTATCGTACCGAGGGAACATTTTAGTCTCAATCTTCCCTGTGGGAAAGCCGTGGCGTTTTTCCAAAGCCACAACGAGATGCTCCGGGAACCCAAAGAATGATTCCTCAGAGCCGAGGAACCCATGAATGAAGACCAGGAGAACCTTTCTTTTGTCACGAGGGAGAGGAGGAAGAGGCGGCTCACAGGCTACAGTATTTGGTTCGACGGTCATGTGTAATGTATTTTAGCATGAAAATGCGATCAGGAGCCAAGTTGCCAAACGGCGGTCGGGGCTTTGCTGATGCGGTGGCGCGGCTCAAATCGCCCTTGCACTCTTTTGAATGCCCCGACCAGCTCCCAAAAAACGTTCCAAAAATATCAAAGCAACGACGACAATGGTAAAATGCAATGGATTCGAGTTGTCACAGTTATAAAAGATACATTGTATGCAGTGTAGATTCATAGAGCCCATCAGCTTCCCCCCAATTGATGTTGTTCAAGCGATCGTTCAAACTTTTTGAATTCCTCTTGGGCAACGGCCTCGTGTTCGTCCAGTACCTGTTCAACACCCTGTACCTCTGGAATATAATGCTACACGAAGGCATTTGTTAAATTGATATGAAAGAATACATTATAACGATGTGATCTCACCATCAACATGTTTTCGATTCCGTTCTTCAAAGTGACTACAGAAGAATCACAAGTTCTGCAGCTTCCCTGGAGCTTCAGCTTCACAATACCATTTTCAAATCCCTTGTATTCAATATCTCCACCATCATCCTGAATTGTGGGCCTGATTCTGGTGTCCAAAAGTTCCTTAATCATCGCAACGGTCTCGGAATCTTCAGGGAGAATTTCTGTATCTCCTCGTAATAATCCATTCCCCCCGTCTTCTCGCATAATTGGTTGTCCTGATGCATAAAAGTCCATGATGCTTCCATAAATCTCTGGCCTCATTAGCTGCCAGTTGGCGTCTGGGTCTTTGGTTATCGTGATAAAGTCCGGTCCAAAAAAGACTGATTGGACGCCGTCTATCCGAAACAGTGCAGCTGCTAGAGGAGATGCCAAGGAATCACGAGCCGAGACGAACTCGGCAGTCGCGTTTTGAAGAACAGGGACGCCGGGTTTGAACTTTAACGATCCGGCATTTGGTGTTGACTCTGTCTGTATGAACATGGTTCTCTCTAATTTAAGGAAACGAATATATCATCAGGCTCCATTTTCTGAGCGGACATGTCAATTGACAGAATGCTTACTCTGTTGTTTGTTGCGGTGTGCGACGGGGAATGCATTGCCGCGAACTGGGGCGGGTCTTAGAGCGTTGGTCGAGAGGAGTCGAGGGGCAGTACACTGAGCGATACGAACAAGACATGTTTGAGCCCTGCGGCCAGCAAGAGTGCCTAGACGAGCAGATAGCGTTGCAGACAGCATCGTTTTCCTGATCGTTGTCTAAATAAAATCCTTGGATTCCTCATCAACCTCCACACTATGTCATCGTTGTTGCCATGGCAAAGTCATCACATCAGCAGCGATTGTTCATCTCAGACCTTCTGCACATTATGCTCTCTCGCATGGGACGAGGAGCTTTTAGACAAAGTGAAATACATGTTTGTCGTCTGTTTTCTGTGCAAATCAGAGGAAACGCTGCATATTGCCGTGCAGTTGGCAGCATCCCACTACCGAACCGGCGGATAGCTGCAATCTCAACAGCGAGTGGATATGAAAGTCTGCTACCATTAGTGACAAATGCGACGACTGTAACCGGAGCATCAAAGGAAGATGTTCACCTGGGCCCCTTTGAGCGACTGGGTATAAGTCCTGAGCTCGCTGCTAATCTGGCTCGGGAAGGCATCTCGAATCCTACTCAAATCCAAATTAAGGTTCGTCTCAGCAGTCGCTCTCAAAACGAAACAAAGTCCTGAAAATCGCTGTAGGCAGTTGGTCCAATATTGGCGCAAAAGAATGTTATTGTCACCGCAGAAACCGGATCGGGGAAAACTCTGGGTAATTTCAGTCCCGTGCAAAAAGAATAACACCAGGCACGCTTTATGCTGAAATCTCCTCTTATGGCTGTCTAGCATATTTACTGCCGCTGCTCACTCACCTTCTCCAACATGCGGACTTGTCTCCTTCCCGTCCAAAATCGGGTTGTGCACCTTTCTCACCTCGTTTGTTGCTTCTAGTTCCCACGCGCGAATTGTGCGTCCAAATGCTCCGCGTCTTGCAATCCATTACAAAGGGTCTGAATGTGACAGCAACCTTACTCCCGCCACCCCCATCGGTCCCGCTCACGCAAATCAGATACCCGGATGTTGCTGTATCCACACCAGCAGCAATTGCCCGCCAATTTTCCAGCCCTCGTTCTATCAAAGAGCTCCTGTATAGAACTGACGCGATAGTGGTGGACGAGGCCGACTGGACAGTGGCCGACCCGACTGGGTGGAAGTTCATTGCGCAGATGGCATCAATTAGCAGGAAAAGGGAAACACTTGAGACATCTTCCGTAACCCCTATCCGGAAGCTCCAGTTCATATTTGCAGCAGCAACTCTGCCACCGATCAGAGCAGCGAAAGCAAAAACTCCGCGAGCTCTCATTCAACGTACATTTCAGGACGTGATTACAGTGGGCACAACTGCCTTGCATATGCCGCCCGCAGGGTTGAAGGAGCGGTTTATTCGTTTGGTTGATGCTGATGACCAAACGTTGAGCGATGATCAGGAGACGCAGACCAAATGTAATGCACTGATGGCCATTCTTGTAGATGCGATGAGAAAGAAAGCGGAAGCAAATGTCGTTACGAGCGATAAATGGCTTGTTTTCTGTAACTCAACCAAGCGGGCAGAGCAAGTTTTTGCCGCCTTAAGTGCTACGCAAGATGCTATCATAGCTGAGAGTGGACTTGGTGTGCCTTCCATGGCATTCGAGGTGAATCTCGTTCACGGGGACGTGCATAGAGATGAACGTGGCACCACTGTGCTTAACCATGTTGTTAAAAACAACCACAACGCTCAACCTGTGTTCAAGATACTCGTCTCCACCGATCTTGTGGCACGAGGTCTGGACTTCGTGGACGTTTCCACAGTAGTTCAGCTGGATTTCGCTCGAGACGCGGCTACGTACTTGCATAGAATAGGACGGACGGCCAGAGCCGGCAAAGCAGGACAAGGTACTGTAGCCCACGGGAGTGTTTTGTTCTTCCATGTCTCATGTTACTGACTTGGATACACCAGCTATAAGTTTCGTGTCTCCTAGCGATTATCGTTTGTCGGACTTTGTGGAACGGGCATCTAAAGGTGTAGCAGACTCCAAATTGCAAACGCATGCGCAGTTTCGCACAGCCCTTTTGGGGGATGCGGAAGTGCTACGAGAAGATGACAACGACCGGACCCCGTTGACTGCGTTGTTTAGCAGAAATCGGTCTTTTCGGAATAAGTTAAGGAAAAAGCAGATGACAAGGCACGACAGCCTCCAATCAAAAATCGAGGCTGGACAAGCGTAGAACGCACATATTATTCCCTGACCATAAATTGTCGATATTGTAAATACTATACACTTCTTAACCCGGATTGCATCCGGAAGCGATCATAAAACTGAATCATCTCGTCAGTAATACGGGGAGTGACGCTGCGGATGGCTTTTTCGAAATGTCGGAAGTGCACCTGATGACCACAAAGTGTCATAAAGATCAGTACGGCCCCTCTTATCAATGTCAGCACATCATGGTCTGACCTCGGACGCTTCCACATTTTCTTCCATGGCACCCATCGCTGCTTCTTGACATATTGCGACACATTCGGCGCCAGAGTATCCTTCCGTCTTTTCAATGCGATAGAATGAGCCATTGTTGGGAACACTTTTATGGGTTGACATACCATTTTCGCCAACTTATCGGCATCGACGTCGATTCCACATGCCACCCGACGTATTTGTATTCTAAATATCTCTTTTCGTGAGCGGTAGTCCGGCGGAGATACGTATAATATTCGGTCGATTCGACCAGGTCGTAACAATGCGCTATCCTATGAGACAGCAAACGTGGGAAACCTGTGCGGTGGATCACGACTTCGATGAACAAAACTTACAATGATATCGGGCCGGTTAGTTGCTGCCACTACTGTTACATTCACCAAGGGCTCAATTCCGTCCATCTCCGAGAGCAGTTGTGACAGTACCCGATCAGCAACAGATGCTTCTTCACCTCCTCGCCGAACCGCCAACGCGTCGATCTCGTCCTTTGGGGGACATTTGGCATGTCAGAAAAGTATTGCATGACGCTCAGGTCTCTATCCACACGTACGAAGAAGACAATAGAAGGAGATGCCGTCCTCGCTTTATGGAATACTTCTCGTACTGCCCTTTCCGACTCTCCGACCCATTTGCTAAAGAGCTGGCATCCTGTCAAATACTTGAAGTCCACGACTCACTACGCAAGGGAACGTACCTCTGGGCCCTTGACGGCGATAAAGTTCAATCCCGCTTCGGTAGCCAATGCCTTTGCCATAAGAGTTTTACTGCAACCTGGTGGGCCGTACAGCAAGATGCCTTTGGGTGGGCGAATGTTGAATCGCAAAAATGCTTCCGGATGCTAAACCATTGGTTGTTCCGTAAGATCGATTCTCATGCATATCGGGTGTTTGATGCTTACCTTCAAAGGCCATTCGACTGCTTCTTTTAACTTCTGTTTTACCTCTTCCTGGCCTCCAATATCCGACCAAAGAACTTTGGGCACTTCAAGCATGATCTAGGTGGCACGCATTAAGACTAGCTCGACACATCCCTCCATGCCTGCACCCACCTCCCGCATGGCGCTGGGCCGAATTTCGTTCATTGCAGCCGCAACATCGTCGGCATTGATACACAGCTCTTCTAAGTGGTGTCAGTGGCAAGGTCTGCCGGTGCATTTAGGATCTGGGACACTACCTGTATCTGATACGTGAGATGGTAAACCCAACATGTCCGACGTGACTCGATGAATGGTTTTCAACCCCGCTTCTCGGCAAACAGCAGCGAGATCGGCACCGACATATCCATGCGTAGAGGCAGCAATTTGGGATATTTCGCTGTCAGTTAAGGTGTGGGGCACGCGCCGAAGGAGGGTTGTCAAAATTTCCAGCCGGGCCTCGGCACTAGGTATACCTAATGGATCGTATAACGACCGTTACATCTGCGACGACAATGAAGATTTGATTTACGGACGGTACCGATTTCAATTTCTCGGTCGAACCTGCCAGGTCTTCGCAAGGCTTCATCAATAGAGTTTGGTCTATTTGTTGCTCCCATTACCACGACGCGACTTGGATTGGCTAATTTCGCTACATCCGCTCCATCCATCAACGTTAGCAATGTGGCGACAATGCGCTTTTCGAGTTCACTGGCCGAGGAATCACGTTTCGGACACAAGGCATCGATCTCGTCAATGAAGATTATGCAAGGCGCCTTCTGTGCTGCTTCATCGAAAATGTCCCGGAGCTGAATATCTAATCTGAATATCTTTGTCTGACATGGAATGGACGATTGACATATACCCTAGCCTCTGTCTCTCCAAAGTATTTGCTGATGACCTCCGGGCCGTTCACAGTAATTACATGCGCTCTCGTTTCCGCAGCCACAGCGCGAGCAATTAACGTCTTGCCTGTGCCTGGAGGGCCATACAGCAATACACCCCGAGGAGGCCGCAATCCAAATTGTGTGAAGCGCGCTGGATTTTGCAGCGGCACTTCCACCATTTCACGCACGATTTTCATCTGCTCGGCTAGTCCGCCAATTGAATCATATGAAATATTGGGTCGTAAGTCCTCTACTGGGTCTGCCTAAGTAACCCGAAGCCAGTTCACAACACAGTCAAGTATGCAATGTGGAGGAAAGCCAAGTATTAAATACCTGTTGAAACGGGAGTATTGACACCTGGGTTCTTCGCGAAATCCGGCAAGGTACTGACGAGACATGTTGGCCATTGTCCCCTTCAAGTCTAACACTTTCTATTGTGAATTGCCGCAGTTTGCCATAGTAATGGAATTCGACGTTATTTCCTTGTACAACGTATTTGAGGTCAACTATGGGTGATCGGAATTGTCACATTTTAGCAATGGAGCGGCGATACGTGTAGGCCAGAGTCTATCTGTCATGACCGTCCTACCAAGCATCTCTTTTGCATATATTGAAAGCATATCATCAATAGGAAAGCTCGTAGTTGCAGATGGCCGGAGAGATATTCTGTGTGCTTCAGCTACCGGTGCAGCGACCACCGTTAGTCTCGCTTTCGCTTCCAGCTCAAGATTTGCGCTTTGCCTTAAGACAGCTCCCAACTGAATAGCTGATTCAGAAAATGGACAAGGAATTTTCATATTCAACAACTGGCATTATCCGTAGCTGAAAGTTCTACCTAGTCTACCTACTTTGACGAGGAACAGTCATCGATGGCCAGACAATGCCTATTGCCTACGTCACAAAGGTAAGTCCTCGGACCAACACCAATTCTAATAGGTTCCGCTGTAATTGACATGGCATATCTCCTGTTTTAACAAACCTTTGCGCAGGACATGCCCGACATTACTTTGGATTCCCGCCACTGCTCCACCCACACCTCTTCGCCAGCCCTCCATCCATGCTCTGCAGCATCCGCAACATTCACAAGAACACGAAGGTGATGAGGCCGGGCATTCGCAGAGGACGGTGGGGGCGAAGGACTGACAGCGAAGGCCGTTTGGAGTTCAGTTGGCGCTGGTGACTGAACAGCAAGGGGGGTAGGTGAGGAAGGACTACCGGGCGCAAAACGTGGATAGGGTGATGGCGACAAAGATCCCGGCGTTCTTGCGCCCGTTGATTTACGGCCTTTTTTATTCCGTGGAGTTGAGGACATTGAAGAGTTCAAATGTCCAAAGCAAGTTCAACCAATCTCTGCAGCACAGTCAGCTTCGCTTGTTGCCATGGAAATCTACCATCCTTCCTGCAAACCTCCAGATCTCCAACTTGACCTCGTTGCGAAACCAGAAAGCATCATGACGTCCGTTCTCAATGGGCCCACTAGTTTTGCCGACGACGGCAGAACTGTGATTGAAAGAAAGATGGACACCGGGACAGCTCGGCAAAGGTCGACAGGTGTCCTGGGTGGGGACTACGAGATCGAGCGCACCAGCCAGGTTATAATAGAACGAGGCTATTCCAAGGTTAGCATATACTGCATTTTTCTTGTCAGGATCGCTTTTTCCGTCTTCGTGCAAAATATTAACTAGTTGCATCATCTTATTTTCGCTCGAAAGATCGCTTTGCAGTTCCCTGACGAGCTTCTTCCTGACTCTGCAGAGGTGTCTACGGCACTAAAGGAACGCACGGGGAAGGAGATTTTCATACTGGCAGATACCACCTTTGGAAGGTACGTCTCAATGCTTATTTGCGTGGATTTGAGAGTATGATCCTAAGCCTGCGTTTATGAAATAGTTGTTGCGTCGATGAAATCGCTGCAGAGCACGGCAACGCAGATCTGGTTGTTCATTACGGGAGGGCTTGTTTGAGCCCGTAAGTCTCATCCATGATTTTCGATTAGCTATCATACAGGCACGCTAAAAGAGCTGTTTTACAGAACGTCACGTTTGCCTGTGTTGTACGTTTTCGGGAAAGCACCCATTGACGTTCATGATTGCGCTCGGGCGTTTGATCACCATTTCTCTGCACAACGGAATCAACCGGTTTTGCTGATGTATGATGTTATGTATCATCATGTGATAAGTATGTGCTATTTGCTCAAATGCAGATGCTCGGGAGGTTCTAATCCGGTGTGTTCTTTTCCAGTTTCCTTGATGGAACTTTTACATTCGCACGGGTACACCGATGTACTTCAGACGGAAGTCGAAACGGAACTTTTTGTTCCGCCCAAGCTACAGGCCACCGAGCTGGACGAACAGCGCACACCCTCACCGACTTCGAGCGAGTGTTGTGATAAGAGCATGAGATGTTGTAAGGAAGATCTGCGTCGCTCGCCTCTCGCCTCGACCCCAAGTGAAGTCACGGAGACCGACGAGAGTACATGTCGACAGAGCGCGTGTGGTCGTCGTTTTACCATCCCACCACATCGCACGCTGGCTGACTATTCTATATTCTATATCGGTGGCGAGAGTCTAACTTTGACCAATATCATCCTTACAAATAGTCGAAATAAGGTATTCAAGGCAATTCCTTCAGACTGGAAGCATTTTCAAAACGTTACTTCTTAGGTATTCTCTTATGACCCCGACACGGGAGTTCACCGGGAGGAGACCGGAGCGCAAAATAAATTATTGATGAGGCGATACTACATGGTGCAAAGTGCTAAAGACGCTAATGTGATCGGCATTGTTGTCGGCACTTTGGGAGTTGGTAAGTTCGGATGACGCATTGAGGGCTATATTTCAGTTTCGCACCCCCAAAGACAGGTGCTAACTGTCGTCTATGGGCCACCAAACAGCGTCTTATTTGTCAGTCATAAACCATATAAAGCGCCTGATCATCGCATCTGGGAAGAAGCCATATGTACTGGCCGTAGGAAAGCCCAATCCAGCAAAATTAGGCAACTTCCTTGAAATCGACTGTTTTGTCTTGGTTGCTTGTCCAGAAAATTCTCTTCTTGACTCTCGCGACTTCCTGCGGCCCATTGTGACACCGTTTGAGCTTGAGCTGGCCCTCGTAAGAGGAAAAGAGTGGACGGGGGATTACGAGACTGACCTGACAGTTTTGGCGTCTCGCTTGCAGTCTGGCGCAGATGATTTCGACAATGGCGCTGATGACGAAGCATCAAGCGATGAGGAACCTTACTTTTCACTGGTTACCGGTGGTTACAAGCAAGCTACGCGATATCTATCGACTTCAAACGTGCCGACACGAAGCTCCAGATCCGTCGAAGATGCTCCAGGACAGCTCACCTTGCGCAATGCTGAAACAGGCCTAACTAAGCTTTCGACACAAAGCGCTGCGGCGCAGTACTTGAACGAGAGGAGGACCTTCAGGGGTCTGGTGCCAGATGTGGGGAACACTGATGTAACAGTAGCTGTTGATGGGCGAAGAGGTATCGCCCGGGGGTACGTCGGTGAAACAGGGAAGAGCGAACAGCTTAATCAAACGCATGACACAAGCACATAAAAACTTTTTACATTAAGCTTCTACTCGGTACTAGTTACAGAATGCGATCACCGTATTTCTCGGTAGATTGCGATAAATAGGGCTGGGCAGAATATGCTATGCCGGCGGTGCTGGTTGTGGCGTTGGCAGCGGGGGCAGCCGGGACGAATTCAACGACGGGTACGATCGCGAATTTGACTTATTCTGCTATCAAAAACAAGTTGAGCGACTGCGCCATCGACTTTGTACGGCACTTTCATACTTACTCTGGTTGAAAGACCTATTGGCTGAATGACTCCTACCACGGGCGCCTTGTTGAAGATCTTGTTGAAGTTGGCTTCCCGGTTATTGAGTTCCAACTTGTAATACTGGAGCTCCTCCTATATCAGCTGAATTGAGCCTCTGCTACAGCCGCCTTTATGGAGAGACAAGGCTCGTACCATTAACGCTTCGATTATTTGTTTTGCTTGACGCAAGTCCTCTTCAAGCTGCGCTATCCTCTGCACGTCTACCTCGCGGGGTTCGCGGTTTATGTACTTGATATCAGCTTCGTGCAACCTGTCGGTGGGATTGGTCTCTGTACATAAAGCCTAATATGACTTGAACCTACTGATTCTTCTGGGTGGCAATCTGCTTTTTGAGATACGTCTGTGCGTGCTCAAACTCTCTAAGCATTTGTTGGACTTCCTCAATGTGTTGTTCATTGTTACGGCTGATCTCTTGCTTTTGCTGATCCAGCAGATCTTCGCGAAGGGCAGCCAATTTTGACTCTGACTCTTCCCTAACATTGCGGCAGACGATGAGCTTGGCAGTTTGCAGGCTGCGGAATGTATGCAGGTTACCTAAGGTCCTCAATCTCCGCAACTCTAGCGTCAACGTCCTCTCGCAGCTGCTCAATCACATTTAACTGCTCAGTAACTTTCGTCCGCAGGGCTTCCCCGATCGACTAGCGGTGGGTAATGTCAGCGAGTTCAGTCACCCCCGTGAGCTCATTTGGGATCATATACCTTCAAGGAGATCACCTCTTCATGTAGGCTTTTGATGGCGTCTTCCTTGGAGTTAATCTCGCTACTATGTTGTTTCTCAAGGTTCTGGAGCTCAGCGGCGTGGGCTTGCTGTATTTCGGCGACTTTCGCATTCCGATCTTCCAACAACCGCTGTCTTAATGCCAACATCTCCTGCTCAAACTCCATCTTGAGATTATTTGCCTCCACCAGCCGAAGCGCTTCTGCTTCCTGTTACTGACAGTCAATTGTTTGGCACAAGCATGGAATATCTCGGCACTAATGTCACCTTTTTCGCAGCCATATTGGACATGGTGTGAAAAGCTCGCAAGTCATCCAGCTGGCGCTTATGTGCAACATCCGCCTCTTCTCTTTCTGTCTGCAGTTTCTTTTCCAGTTGTGCTAGGGCAATCGTAGAGGCCACTTTTAGCTGCGTTTCCCGACTCTGCACTTCTATCTCCCATGCTCTTCGCGCCTCCTGTAGCGCATTGTCATGCTTTTCGGCCAGGAGGATTAGTTCTTCCCTATATTTCTAAAAAACAACAGCCAATATGCGATCAGTATAGTGTCTATTATTCCGCAAGCAATATGTAACATTACCCTTCCCATGTCTTGAATCTGCTTTTGTAGCAGAGCTTTTTCTTTCTCAAGATTGGCGGCTGTTCCTTCTGCATTGGACACCATTCTTTGCATCTTGGCAATTTCCTTCTGCTGGGTAAGTCGAATAGCCTGAACCTGCTCTTCATGGTCTTTTTCCTTTTGTGCCATGGCCGCCTGCATACAGAATAAGATACATGCAGGTCGGCAATACATGATTTGAATCCATTCTCACCTGCAAGTCCTGTGCATGTCCTTGATTTAGCGAATCTCGTAGTCTTTGATTTTCGAGTTTTGCTTCCAAATCCCTGGAGAAGGTCAATCACTATGTAACCAGGTAGCCCTTATCCTTTCCATCGAGCCCGAACCATGCGTCCGCTAGATCCAACTTCTCCTTTTCGAAATTATCTCTCATTTCGGTCCGGATTTGTTCATCGATATGCACCATCTTTTGGAAAAGATCAGCTTTGTCAACCTCGAGTCCTCGGATGGTCTCGCTTTGATGCTATTGCGTATGATGAATAGGGTGCTCGGCGAGATAGTTTTCCTCCCTGTTCCATCCTCGCAACAAACCTGAATTGTGATAAGGTGCTTTGAAATCTCCATCATTCTGTCTTCCAGAGTGGAAGTGACGTCTTCCAGATGGTGTGCTAGATCTGCCATTTCCTTCTCCTTGGTTTTCAGGAGTTCCTGCGTTCCGAGGTCATTTGGTGAATTTAACCGCCTTATAAATGTTGCGACACTATAAAAGACATGCGAACACACCTTCAAAGCCTCCTCTGTGTCTTTGGCAGCCCGCTGCAGCTGCTCCATCTGTCGTTCGGATGCTTCCCGATGATCCGCAAATTGCTGCTGTAAGTCAACGATTTCCTGCGGGGTGTGAAATATGAGACTCAGAGAAGGACGCATCCAAATTGCCGAGCACTACCGTACTTGAACTTTCTTTTGAAGAGCCTCATCGTGCTTTCTCTGCGCTTCCAACAGCTGCTCAGACATTTCCGCAGTAAACGCAGCTTGTAATTCACTTTTTTGGAGTGTTAGGGACGTTGCCAAAAGCTGGAAAGCCGGCGTATAGCTTGAGAACCTCTGGAAACAAAATCGATAATGACCTCCGGAAACACGAATGTACCTCTTCGTGTTTTAAACGCTCGGCTTGCATTTGCTGCTCCAATTCTTCGTACGCTTTGGCTGTGCACGAAGGGGAGACGGAAAGGTTGGCATTTAACACTCGCTGTCAGTTAATGAGCGAACCAGCTGACCCTAAGGCAACCTTGCGCAAGGAATTTCCTTTCATTCTCCATCTTCTCTGCATCATATAGTTTCATCTCTTCTTGTAGTTTATTTAACGTTCTATTTATAAATTTAAGTGAATTTGACGAACTGAGTCAAGATGCGTTCTCGTACTCACGCTAGCGTCGTTTGATGTTGAGCGGTAAGAGCATCCAGATCTGACTTTATGCTTGCCTTTTCATCGGCCTCCTGCGTCAAAGCAACCGACAAATCTGCGAGTTGCTTCTCTTTTGCGTTTGACAGCATTTCCAGATTCCGCGTACGTTCATCTGCAGACATGACAACGTCAATACGACCATCAACCTGTTGACATATACAGCGTGGAGAGACATCGAAGCCGCACCAGCAATATTGAGCTTCGTCACCATTGTTGCAATATCCTATAATGAAAAGTATAAAGTGCCTCGTCCTTCCCGCACAAGCACCTCCCGCATTCACCTTTTCCAAACTACTTATACGATTGCTGTAGTCTTCGAGCTTGATTTTCGAATCGCGCAGTTTTATTGTGGTCTGATTTAATTCACCTTCAAGCTCCAAAGCCTGATCGCCTTTCCTTTGGCACCACAAAATAAACGTCATACGACGTAGCAATGTCTCCAACCCAGAAATAGTCAATACATACTGTTGCAGGGTCTGCTTCGTTTCCTTAAGGGCTGCCTGACTTTCTAGAAGCCGTTCATGCTCCTGATATCCCAAGATGATTAATTGATACATTCATCGTATCAGCTATCGGCTTTCACTCAGTCAATACCTGCTCATATGCCGCTGTGAGCCTTGTTTCCAGTGTTTTAATCTGAGCTGTACTGTCTTTGACTTGATCATCCAAAGCTTGCCGCAATTGCTTAATTTCTTGCTGCTGGAACTTGATTTCATCTTGATGCTTTTATTTTGTTTCATATTGAGTATGATGTTGGTACTGTGACTATTGTCATGTGTACCCACTCGACTTTTGACTGTTGAGACGGCATCTTTGAGGCTATCATCAAGTTTCTGTCTGTCATCGTTCACCGCTTGAAGTTTCTTTGTGTACTCGGCTCTGAGTGCCTCCAGCTGTAGGGGATGTTGGCGGTCGTGTAGTATTTACAGCAAGAACTCAAGGTAAGAACTTACATCGACAAGACTTTGCCGTTTGACCTCTTCCAGTTCTTTCTCGTGTTTATCGGACTGCTCTTGCAGCATGGACTCATAATTGGACCGTAACCCCGATGCTTCTTCCTCTTCTTTGCAGCGCAGCTTTACAGTTTTTTCCATCTCTTGCAACTGCTCTTCATGCGTGCGCGCTGTCTCTATCTTTTCTCTTTCGGCTCGTCAGTTTCGCAGGCGGCACCCGGCAACATAGATAATAGTTTCCAAACCTTTCAGCTTCGTTAAGAGAATCTTCTAGTTCCGCTACCCTTTGTCTAAGGGTGTCTAAACCCGCCTCATGCGTGGAGATCGTTTCTAGATAGGACTATCCAATGGAAATCAGCATCACAGCAAGCAGCTGGGGATTCGCCTGTAGACTAATTGATCCACCTGAATCACTTCCTCATGTGCTCTGAGTTTTAATTCACCATCTTCTACTTTAGATTGCAAAACTTGAATTCTACTCTGCCCGTCCTCAACAACCTGACAAAAATCATTAGAAACTCTTCGGAAGATCTATATAGGTTCCGTGTACACCTCTTGTATTTCATCTTCGTATGCTTCAGCAAGACTTTGAATCTCCGTTGTATGATCTTCATTTTTGGTATTCAGATAGTATATAACTTTCGTCAACTGAGCAATTTTCTTTGAAAGTTTATACACGACATCGGGAGGGGCCGCTACCCCCTTTGCAGACAGACTTAAAGAGGAAGAGGATGATGATTCGGCCAATTTATCTCCTCGGGACCGTCTAATGGAAAGATGTCTTTGACATGGCGACCAGCACGCCGTCCTTGGAACTGGGCAACTCAACGACCTTTATCGTTCGGAGATCTCGCTGACTCAGCGACTAACATGTGACACCGAGGACCAGGTCCTGGATCTTGTGAACCGCGT